TGCTTCAAATCCAAAGGTTGGAGATTCTGAAACTGACCTTGTAGAACCACCCAGTGAGCGTTCTTTACCCCCTACAGATGTCACCAGTGTTGTTGTTGGATCGATACATGGTGTTTCTGATGGACAGCAATCTCAAGAAGCTGATTCTATTGTCAGTTCTCATGTTGTCAATGGTGAATGTGACATGATTTTGCCTTCTGCTTCCTCCCATGAAGTGAAATCGAGTGAGCTTACCTTGCCCCTTCCTGAGGTTGGCACCATTGCTGTTGGATCCATTCAACATGCTTCAGATGAACAACAATCTCAAAATGCTCATTCTGCTTCCTCTTCCAAGGTTAATGACTCTGAGGCAGGAGGTGCTAAAAATGGAGATCATGTAGCCCAAATCAATGATCTTATTCTGCCCCATCAAAAGATTATCAGTTCTGCTGTTGGATCCCCAAAATCTGTTAGTCCTAAACACATGAAGCAGGTTGATGTAAATAAAGGTCTTATTGATACAGCTGCACCTTTTGAATCTGTTAAAGAAGCTGTTTCCAAGTTTGGAGGAATTGTTGATTGGAAAGCTCATAGAATGCAAACTGTGGAGGTATTTTTGCTATATTTATAGTGGTTTTAGTATAACCTATGCTGCTGCATTATATTTTTGTCATGTCTAGTGAATGTTGTTGATCATGAATTTTTGTTCTCTGTTGGTATCAACTATAAATGATGTTTTTAATTTTTCTTTTCTCTGTCTACTTTTTTCATGTCCACTAAATGTAACTTAAAATTCTTTTTGGGCTATAGAGACGCAAGCTTGTAGAACAAGACCTTGAGAAAGTACAGGATGAGATGCCTGAATACAAGCAACGGTCAGAGGATGCTGAAGAGGCAAAAATGCAAGTATTAAAGGAGCTGGACAGCACAAAGAGACTAATAGAAGAGCTAAAGCTGAGCCTGGAGAGAGCACAAACTGAAGAGAATCAGGCAAAGCAAGACTCTGAACTTGCCAAGCTCAGGGTGGAGGAGATGGAACAAGGGATTGCTGATGAGGCTAGTGTTGCAGCAAAGACACAGCTTGAGGTTGCTAAAGCCAGGCATGCGGCTGCAGTTTCAGAGCTGAAATCCGTTAAAGAAGAGTTGGAAGCACTACAAAAGGAATATACTTCTTTGATGACTGAGAGAGATGTAGCTGTTAAGAAAGCTGAAGAGGCTGTTTCTGCTTCGAAAGAGGTTGAGAAGACAGTGGAAGAATTGACTATTGAACTGATTGCCACAAAGGAATCCTTAGAGTCGGCACATGCTGCCCATTTGGAGGCAGAAGAGAAAAGGATTGGAGCAGCCATGGCCCGAGACCAAGATACTCATCATTGGGAGAAGGAACTAAAACAGGCTGAAGAGGAGCTCCAGAAACTTAATCAGCAAATCCATTCAGCAAAGGAGCTGAAATTAAAGCTAGACACTGCTTCAGCCCTACTACTTGATTTGAAAGCTGAATTAGCTGCTTATATGGAATCTAAACTTAAGGAGCAAACTGATGGACACTCCACTGATGAGTCACAGGCATCAGAGAGAAGAACTCACACTGATATACAAGCTGCAATTGCTTCAGCAAAGAAGGAACTTGAAGAGGTGAAGCTCAATATAGAGAAAGCAACTACAGAAGTGGATTGTTTGAAGGTGGCAGCTATTTCATTAAAATCAGAGGTTGAAAAGGAAAAATCTGCTCTTACTGCCATTAAGCAGAGAGAAGGAATGGCATCGGTTGCAGTCGCTTCTCTGGAAGCTGAGCTGGACAGGACTCGGTCAGAAATAGCCATGGTCCAGATGAAGGAAAAAGAGGCCAGAGAGAAGATGTTGGAGCTGCCCAAACAACTGCAGCAGGCAGCACAAGAGGCCGATGAGGCCAAGTCACTTGCTCAAATGGCTCGAGAAGAGCTACGCAAGGCAAAGGAAGAAGCAGAGCAAGCGAAGGCTGGAGCAAGTACCATGGAGAGTAGATTACTTGCAGCTCAAAAGGAGATAGAGGCTGCCAAGGCTTCAGAGAAGTTAGCTTTAGCTGCTATCAAAGCATTGCAAGAGAGTGAATCAGCTCAAAGCACCAATAATGTCGATTCACCCGCTGGTGTAACGCTTTCCTTGGAGGAGTACTATGAACTCAGTAAACGTGCACATGAGGCAGAGGAACAGGCCAACATGAGGGTGGCGGCTGCCATTTCTCAAATTGAGGTAGCTAAGCAATCCGAGTCAAGAAGCTTGGAAAAGCTGGAAGAAGTAAATCGAGAGATGGCTAATAGAAGGGAAGCGCTAAAAATTGCTATGGAGAAGGCCGAGAAGGCCAAGGAAGGGAAGTTAGGTGTGGAGCAGGAATTGAGAAAGTGGAGAGCTGAGCATGAGCAACGGCGAAAGGCTACTGAATTGAGTCATGGAGGGAACGCTCCAGGGGCAAGTTTTGAGGGAAATAAAGAAACGAAGAACTTTGAACCTGTACCTGCTGCTCCTGCCCACACTCTAGCAAGCCCAAAGGCATATGTGCATGGGAATAACACAGAAACCGAATCATCCCCGGAAGCAAAGGTTGTAAAGAAAAAGAAGAAGTCACTGTTCCCAAAGATTTTCATGTTTTTGGCCAGAAGAAAGTCAACTTCATCCAAGTCCAGTTAAGCCTTCAGTGAAACGCTGTGATATCTTTGCTGTTGTGATTTTACCTTCCTTTTTGTCTGGGTTGTCACAGTGGCCATAAATCCTGGATAAGATTTGACTGATTTTTTACTCTCTTGAGTGTAAATTCCAGTGATTATTTGATGTATGATAAAGTTGAGAATATATTTTTGCTTATTGGAAAAGGGTTTGTATGGGTAATAAAAGATGCTTCTGTATAGGCTTTCGTGACGCTTGAGCGTTAACTCTTGTAAAAGTGATGTAAGTTTGTTATATGATGCAAGAATTTGGTTTTCTTCGCCTTACTCTTATTTTGTCAAGCATATTTCTCTGTAGAAATCAACCAGCTGCTTACATTTTGACTACCGGCCATTAGAGTTGCTTAAGTTCACATTATCATGTCAATAACAAAATTGTGCGGGTCATTTGGCTGCACTGTTTACCAGCTTTACTGTGAATGAACCATAAATTAAATTTTCAGTTGCTTACAGCGGATGAAGAGAAGAATAGGTAAATATAGTCATTTACATTCCATCCTACCAAGGCCCATGACAAAGGTGAAAAGCCCACCTTTGTTACATTCAGGAACTGGAGTTGGCAAGGGTTTGAATAATAGTTTTATGCCATGGGTTCGAAAGGTGCTCCACAAGGTTATCAATTGGACCTGCATGAGTCACAAAAGCTTGCACAAAGATGCCGAGCATGGCTATCATGGCCAGTCGTCCTGCAAGAAATACTAGGCCTCAGAACCTGTAACAAAAATCAGAAAAAGAAGGAAATAATAATCATTGAAAGAAGGATTAGGCAAAACAGACCATTTTTGATCTCTTTAAGCTTCCACTCATGAGCGTTTTTAATATCTTTAGCCAGACCAAGAGGATTTAGCAGAGGACCTCCAGGGTAGCTGGTCATCACAGAAACAAAAATGTCAAGCTAATGGATGACAAATTCCTAGTTTTGGGGATTAGGAAGCATCCTTTTCAAAGCCATGGAAGAATTACCCAGGTTCTAAACCTTCTAGTGCAGCTTCCAATCCGAAGAAAGATCCCTCTTTGGCTTGTGAACCTGGACTAATGAAATCCATGTACCTTTTAGTTTCGACAAACCTGTGCGCATAAAGAGCAAGCCCAGGAACAAAATTCTTATTATTGCATATCTAGAGAAGTTGAGAGGTTTTGTTTCAATTGAGGCAAAAGGCAAAACAGTTGTGCCATAGTATTCTACCCCATCAAAAACAACTGGACAACTATCAAAGTTCTTGTGCTGGCAAACTCAAATTTCACTGCTCCAGCTTCATACCAAACTGGTAAGTTACTGATCCCTGTAACGCGTAGTAACTGCAATAAAAGTAGTAATATATCACCATATATTTGTGACGGACGTTAAACCAATCCATTCGTAAGAATAACAATGATATTTATTTGTTGCTCAGGAAGATGATTTTCAACAACTTACATCAGTGAATAGAATTCCAGCCACACCAGCCATTGCAAATCGAGCATGGACCAACTCTGCCTGAACGTACCACTTCAAGCTCTCCGGGTCTTCTCCCAGCCCAAGTGGGTCAAAACCATAATCTCCAGCCAACCTGAATTTGGACAAAAGGAAAACAATAAATTGATATAGAAGTTTTTATTTAGTTACAGAATTCAGTTGTCTAGACTTTTTCTATGGGTCTAGTGGCTCACGTTCCATCCAGATAGGCCGGAGGGTCAAGTCCAGGGAGCCACGTTGGTCGCTGCTGGGGTTGAACTGCAATTTGTCCATAACGTCGAGGGGCAGAAGTAGACCACAATGTGCTTGCTGCACCCAATGAGGGTTTGTATATTTTGTTATGAAATATGGATGAAGAAGAGGAGCAAGGCTGAACAAGGTAGCCTCTTCCAACTGCAACGGCCATTTTCTCGTTTTGCAGTTTCTCTTCTCTCTGTCTGTCCATTTGGCTTTTTTGGGTAATTTTTTTTTTTGTCTGTTTCTGTCTATCTACAATCCCTGACTGAAGGCATACAGGGCGTCCACGTACATGACTACCATTAAAGTTATTACTGTTAAATACAGAGAAAATGCCATCTATGTGTCAAAAACATGATAGCCCAGGCCCACTTGCCCCTTCCTAGCCATTGGATATGGATTACGGAACCATTTGAAGGACATGCTCCGATCAGAACAGAGCTGGTTCAAGTAAAGTAGATGAAAACGCAAAAAGGGGGAAAATATTAGTTTCTGCAAATTCATGGTCTCTGGAAACAGCTTGATTCAATCACACAATAGTGGAAGAAGAAGACGATGATACATAAAAGTTCGACATAACAAAGTCTTGCCATTCACTTTTCTGACCTAGGAAGCAGTGATTGCTTCGTGTAGAACTAAAAACAACAGTAATTGAGTGATAATACTAAGAATCACACTAGAAACTCCAAGCAGATAGGGAGGTCATAACAATAACAGTCTGGCCAGATAAAACTTGACAACACACCTAATCTAATAAAAGATACAATTGAGAAGCCCTAAAATGCAGTGGTGACATCTTCGATAGCATTTGGAGAGTGACCAAATAAAAGAAGAGAGGTATCCAAGCGTATCATCGCCTGCTGGATATGCTGAATGAGCTGACTTTCATGGGGGTAGCAATAACCAATGGGGCTTCAGGAGAATCAGTAACTGCAAACTTGTCGTGCATAAAACGGCTATCGACAATGGAGTCATCCTTAAGGACTATCTTGTAACAGTAGCAGCTCTTCAAACCCTCCTGATTATGGTAGCATTCATGAGACCCATTCTTCACCTGTTGAAAGTTCCATATGACGCTAAACTTGCCTACTGTTGCAACCAGATGGCGCTCCTGCTTCCCATTCTCTGTGACCTATGAAATGTAGTAACGCACATGGTTAAAGTTTAGTTCATGGAAATAAAAAAATCACAGAAAGAACGGTTATCTGAGTCTTAAAAATAGGGAAAAGTTTTGGCAAGCACAGTGGTAACCTTGGTCAGTTATCCATTAAGTGATTGATTAGAACGATTGAGATGACACAAAAAGGCCGCTAATGACATTTTGCAGAGGCAATTGAATTTGCAGGGAATAAAGCAGCCTAGCAGCTTTAGTTTTGCTTCAACTAAGTATCACTTTAGTTTTGATTTTTAACCAAGCACGACAAAAGAGTGCTACACAATGAGAAACTTGTTAACCTCAAAGCCAAGATAATAAATCAGCATATGGAGACCCCTCAAAATCAAAGTTATATTACAGAACGACATGTGACAAAATTTAATACCACTATGTTTCTCGCAGGGGACAATGAAATATAGTCAAGAAGTGCAACTGGAATATCCCCAATCATATCAGTTCTAGACCCTCAACTTAGGAGTTCAAATAAAATGCTGCATCAATTCTGTAACCAACATATTTATAAATAATGCAAATCAAAGGAACTAAAGTTTTCTTGGCACCAAAAATAGAAAATCAAGGGACATCAAATAACTCTGATTACATTCTGCCAACTAAGCTCTTCATTCCAAATTAGATGGGAGTTGGTCATATCTACATCATGTTAAGTTAATCTGAATCTCAGCAGCTAAAAGCACAAGCAACAGGCAGTTAAATCTAACAAGAGGATATGTATGCTTACCCATGAAAATTGAGCATTACGGAACTTGTTGTTAACCCCAGCTAAATGTGAATCCAGGGGAGTGAGCTTTAACAACCTCGGAGCTGCAATCTTGTTTCCCATACGGCCATCAAAACCCGTCTTTGTCTTGCCATCTTTGTCAGTGAAAAGGGTGCAGATAAGGATCAAATAGGTATCAGTTGTACCCAATATCCACTTCCCATCAAAGGTAACATCAACATGAGTGACAGGCGACCCAAGGCCTGGAAAAGCAGTTTTTGCCTGTCTCATAGAGTTGATAGAATACAACCGAATCTTCCCATCAAGAGACCCAACAACAATAGAGCCATCACCAGTGGTTGCAAAGCACTGGAAGTTAGTCCCTCTTGAAAACTGATGCCCTTGTGTCCAATTCAGAACAGGGGTGCTAGTAGCAAGATTCTGAACCACGCCATTACGGTCTCGCATATCCCACCTGCAAAGCCTATTATCATCCAATCCTAAAAATGTTGATCCTGATGGATCCAACTGCGCTCCCTTGCTGTCATTTGTAATATCTCTCATTGTAATATCAGTCCCATCTTTCCCAAACTTCCACTCACTAACAATTTTCCCAGTCTCAATATCAAGCTGATGCAGCCCATTTGTATGAGGCTTCCCCTCAGTCATAGGACTCATAAGCAGCATATTTGTCTCAGCCCTCATAAGAAGTGCCTTCTTTGGTGTCGAATGCACCAAACTCGAACCACTCCTCTGACTCCCGTGATCAAAATTCACATAAATACCTTTACCATGAACCCCATAAGCAAAATTCTTAACAACTTGAATACCCGAATCACCCACCAAGAAACTGTTATCCAGAGCCCCCAAGGCCAAACTTTGTATTCCTCCATTTGCCGCCTCCTCAAACTCCTCTCTCAGATCCTGATTCGCCCTCAATGGGGTTGCAGATTGAGGACTTTTCAATGGAGAATCCTCAGCATCTTCCCAAATTGAATCATCAGCTGCTACAGGCTTGGCCCAGCCAATGAAATCTTTTCCATAAACCTTAACTTTATTAGCATCATTGGACTCGATCCTATAAGTATTCTCAAACAAACAATCATTAAACTTGCTAACAAAGCTCCTATATACTTCATCACTAAAAAATTTCATTGCCCAAACTCCCTTCGACACGAAATCAACCCTACGTTGATCTCCAAAAGTTTTCAGCTGCATTTCCACCCCCACTTTCACTCTAATTTTGTTACCAACCTTCAAAACCCACCAAGCTTCCCCATTTGCCTCCTCGTTTTCGCTCTCCTCACCATCTTCCTCGTCATCCTGACCGTTGATTTTCGACGTCTTGATGAAAGAGTAAGATGTGAGCTTCTCGGAAGTCACCCATTTGGCTTTAGGGGTGTTACCGCCGATGTGAAGGTAGAGCTTAACGGCGTTATTGAGAGATGGGTTTTGGGTGTTGGCCGATGGGTACTTGAGTTTCAGGGCTTTGAGCTTCGCCTCTACTTCGTCGAGAGACGAAGGCGTCTTGGGTCGTCTTCGACCTGAGGAAGATCTTTCAGGAGTCTCATCTTTAGAATCTTGAAAATTTTCTTCTTCCTCTTCGTTTTCTTCTTCATACTCCTCTTCGTCTGAGTCTGAAATCAGTTCCTCGCGACTGTGAGCACCACCCATTGTAACTGAAAGAGAAAATTGACAATTTGGGAGATAGGTTTCCTCTTGGGGATCGAAGGAGATCGGAAATGTCAAATGGGTGTTGCAAAGAGCGCCAATTTTCAAATTTTGAAATAAAGAGAGTTGCGGTTCTTTGGCTGTCCCCTTTTCACGTTTATTAGGGTTCTGAAAAGGACAACCAGTGGGTTACTCAACGGGCAATTTACGGGTTACCGGCTAGGGTCGGGTAGGGTACTGATGAAGCGTACGGTTGACCGTTTGCTGTAAAGTGGGTAGACTTGTGCTGCCACTAATCCAGGCCCAGACCAATAGGCTTTGGTGATTTGGTCTTGTCAGTATGAAAATCTTTGCCGGCCAGATTGTTCACCAAGGTCAACTTCCCAAAGATACGTATTGTCATCCATTTCCTTGAATGAAGTCACCTCAAGTAGGCTAACTCCTGAACACCCGTCGCCTCCAGTGTCCTTCATCATTTGCCTTACTCTTGCTACATCATCCCACATCCCTTTAGAAGCATAAAGATTTGACATCAAGACATAGAGGCCACCATTTCTGTGATCCAAGAGGTACAATTTCTTAGCTATATATTCCCCAAGCTTGACCTCTTGGTGGGTGCAGCAGGCACTGAGCAAAGCTCCCCACACGGTAGAATCGGGGTCGAACTCCATATTACTGATAAATAATAATGCTTCCTCGAATAAGCGGGCACGACTAAGGAGCGCAACCATGCATGCACAGTGTTGCAGACTTGGTGCCAAACCAAATTCTTCTGTCATAATCTGGAAGTATCTTCTTCCTTCATCAACTGCACCACCATGGATACAAGCAGCCAAAACCCCCAACAACGTGATTCTATCAGGTTTTAGCCCTCGTTCCCGCAATTTAGCATAATGAGTAAGCGCTTTATTTTGAAATCCACATACACCATAGCCTGTAATCATTGTGTTCCACGTTGCCAGACATGGTTCTTTGATGCTCTTGAACACTCTTTCTGCTACATCAATGCTTCCGCACTTGATGTACATGTCTATAAGAGCAGTACCAATAAAATCTTCCACCTCTAGGTTATTCCTGAGGACAAAACCGTGAAGCTTCTTACCAAACTGCAAATAACCCAATTGTGAACACCCGGAAAGTAGACTGGCAATGGTGATGTTATCTGGATGATGCCCAAACATCTTCATTCGACAAAATAACTCCATGGCATCATCTGCTCTTCCAGCCTGCACACAGCCAGATATTATTGAATTCCAACTGATTAATGGTTTTTCTTGCATCTCAGAAAACAAAGAAAACACGGCTTCTATGTCATTGAATTTCGAATACATACTTATTAGTCCATTTGCAACCAAAGAATGAATGCATAGACCGGTCTTTATTCCATAACCATGAAAAGAAAGTCCAATATCAATATAAGCAGGATTTTTAACCCCATGGAGAATGCCAACCATTGCAACTGCATCCAATTCCATATCTAGTTGCTGACTCCGAGCAAAACATTCTACCACCATATCCACGTTCCCTCTCTCGGCATAGCTTGAAATTATAGCAGTCAAGGAAACCAAATTTTCTTGAGGCAATGAGTTATGAAGCAATCCAGCTGATTCATTATCTCCAGACCTTGCATATACACAGACTAAAGAAGTAATTACAGAAGCATCGTTGACTATGCCGGTTTTGATAGCAAAACAATGAACAGTCTCATGATCAGCATTAGCTGATAGAAGGCTCATAACTGTTACCGAATTTACTTCCAGAGTGTTCTCTCTCATTTTCTTGAATAGAACCATTGCTTCATCAAACAAACCGTTTTGTCCATACGCACCGATCATAGTATTCCAAGTAACCACACTCTTTTCCACCATTTCTTCAAACAAAATTTCCGCTGCCGCCAAATCCCTACATTTGGCATACATCGAAGTAAGAGCATTTTTCACTTTAGAATCCCTATCTAACCCAGCTTTAACTCCAATCCCATGAATAGATTTCCCTTGAGACACTAACTCAAGCCTCCCAATGGACGGAATCAAACCAACCAACGTCGTCGTCTGAGGCGTAAATCCCTCTCTCAGCATTTCCATGAACAGATAAAATGCATATAAATCGTACCCATTTTTTGAGTACCCAGAAATCAGCGCATTCCAAGCAACAACATCTCTTTCGGGCATATCTTCAAGCAAAAGGCTTGCACTTTTAACGCAACCCAAGTTTACATAAAAGCTAAGAAGAGTAGTTTTTATGTAAACAAAATGAATAATGCCGGATTTAAGTAAATGGGTATGTATTTGATAGGCTTCTAGCCTCTGTTTTAGTGAATATGAAGCAGAGGCTTTGATGACGAGAGAGAAAGTGAGATCAGATGGCTTTAGATTGAATTGTAGTAATTGGCGGAAAACAAGTAAGGGAGAATTAACGGTTTTGGTTTCAAGCTGTGATCTTAGTAAAGAATGGAAGAAAGAGAGACCAACTGATTTAGCGAAGCTCATGCTCTAGCCTTTGAAGTTTTGGCGCGTCCAAAGTCCTCCAGATTTCGAAACAAATTACCGTTAAAGGTAGGCCTTCTAATCCTTCAATATGTATAATGTTATTTATTTTTCTTTTGTTTGCATTAATTCTGATACAGAAACTCTTTTATTAGCAAGAACAAGAACAGACTCTATAAGATCATCCTAGTGACTATTCTTTCTAAGCATAATTCTTTATCCCCTCATATCTTTTCCCATACAGCGAAGTCTTTTCCAGGGTAAGCAAGCTGGTAGGTAGATGGAAGAAGGTTTCCAAGGTCCCCCTTTGGCCCAATCTTCATTATGATTTTCTCATCAATTTCTGCCATATAGAGATCAGATTCAGCCGCTAGAATCTTAACTTTGCTTGTTGGATTGATTCCATGCTTCTTCCTAATGGCTGTCAAATTTTTGATTGGATCCTTTAAACCCCATTCCAAGAAGTGATCATAAAACTGCACAAGAAGAAAGAGATTTCCAGATGGTTAGAAGTCAGCAGATTTTCATACTCCCGAAAGTAACTATAGGACATGATAAATTCTTCATGATTGTACTGCATCCATACAAATATAAGATAAGAGACTTGAAATGAAGATAAGGTAACAGAAATTACAATGGATGGGATGCCAGGATGTGTGAGAATGTAAACGTAGCCCTGTGCGACTTTGTCGGGATCATCTGAAAATGGGGCAAGTCGTTGAGACCAAGTGTCATGGTTGTCAATAAAAGTAACAGCATTTTGAGGTAATACTCCAATCATTCCTGCTGGATTTCCATTTGAGTCCTTTAAACGACCCAGCTCTCCTTTTATAGCTTGATTAAATATAAATTTCGTTGTAAAATCGAAAGCTGTGATAGCTCCACCTGCAGCTCCAACCCAATCTCTTAGTGCATTACGATGTGCATCTTCCTGGCCCAGTGTAAAGTCATCCCATTTCTCCGCAACTGCAAAGTCGGGTTTAGTTTGTTCCATGAAAAATTTGGTGATGCTAGTTGCATAACCTATTACAAAATCAAATCGCCAGCCATCAAATCCAATATCCGTCTTTAACCAGTTCATCCAATCTGATAACTGCTGCTGTGTGGTCGTGTTGAGAAGGTCAACATCAGGGCCAAAGGGGAAATCCCTGCCTGAATCAGGACTCCCGGTGCCGTACGTAAAGTTGGGGTCATTATTGCAAATTAAGGATGGTCCCCCATCTAGACGGCCATCTGGAGTTCCACCTTCAAAGAATACTCCTTGTGCATCTTCTCTTTCTGTAGACCTATGATTCACAACAATGTCAGCTATGCATTTTATTCCATTTTGATGGAAAGCCTCAACCAGGGACTTTAGTTCTGCCTGAGAGCCATATTTTGATGCGTTCAGGTCATAGAGCCTTCCTGGATAGTATCCTGGGACAAAATGGTGAGATGGATATTTAGAATTTTGGATTAAGCATATGCGAGTGAACACGTAGGCTTGTTGCCAAGCAAGTTAATTATAATAAGAACAGTACCTTCAGGGTCTCTAGATTGGGAGGGTGGTGGAAGCCAGACATGAGTAATTCCCGAACTAGCAAGCTCAGGAACGGAACTCTTTAGGAAGTTGTAGAATCCTCCTTCCTTCCTCCATGACTGCCAGTTAAATCCCTAGTATAACATCAATCACAACAGTTACAATATGTTCTTATTTTGTGTGTCTGTAGAGAGAATAACAGAGATGGAACTATGAAAGAAAAGAGAAGGACATGACTCCATATTTTACCTGAAATAATATATCTGCAGATGTGAAAGCCGGGGAGAGAAAGATGAAGCAGAGTAAAATGAGTAAATTCATTTTCTTTGTTTGCCTTAGGCTGGTGACACTAGGTTCTTCTTATAGGACATCCACCGGCAATGCCCATACTGAAAATTCAACACGTCCCGGAAAGTTAGGGAAGAATACTGTGGGAAATGAAGAATCATAGAAGAAGATGCTGAATATGATAATAAAGCCAAGAAAGAAAACTGTACTGATTGAAATGAACTGAGAAGTGAATTCACCAAACGACAAACCCAAGAGGACTTAAAATTTTGAACCAACATTTTACGTTCCCCTGTGCCTTCTCTCTTTGAGTCCCTTACGACATCTGGGGTTCCAATGATGCTAGTCTAATTTTTCCCTTATCTCTTCCTGGCAAATAGACATGGAAAGACTTTTCTAACTCCGTAACGCGTTCATTAGAGAAACGGGGTCAAACTTTTGCAGCTTCTAGATATTTTTTTGCTTCATTTATCTGCAGACAATCAACATCTAGCCAGTTCAGAGACGGAACAATTGTTCCCTCTGTTTCTAATGAACTTATGAACTTTAAAAAAAAAAAAAATCAACATCTGGCCAGAATGTGGAGAAAAGGGATAGTGAGTGCCAACAATACTGAATGCCAGTCAAGCAAAGTGAAAATGAGACATCTGGTAACAAACCATTACAGGAATACTAATTGTGGTGTTCATCATGTTCATCAGGGTAATCATTGCCACGAATCGGATAATGGAAAACTTGCCACAAACTCATAAGGAATAAAGAATGATTTCAACTTCCAGAGAAACTGACTAATAATTAACCTGCTCAACTTTTGTCCAGTTCAGTATGCAGCACCTTAAACTCCATTAATTTTTTCACGTAAACCAGCTAACAAGTTTGGGTATTGGAGCTGGCAGCAGAAGCCCTCTTTTATTTCTCCCTTCACTTCATATAATAGGGAATAGATTTAAACTAACTTTAATTAGGTATTATTGCATTGTTGATGGCATGCAGATTATGCTGCATATTTGTCACAAGGCAACGATCACGTTGTTAAATGAAAGTACTAGTATTAGACATTTATTTATTTCAATAATATTCATACATATCTCTCAAGAAATTTAGCCAATAATAGCATTTAGAACATCTTTTGGTGACACTTCCATTTGAACATTGATTTCTGTCTCACTTCTTTGCCCATACTGCATAGTCTTTCCCTGAGGTAGCAAGCTGGTAACTGGAAGGTACAAGGTTCCCAAGATCCAACTTTGGGCCAATCTTCACAATGATTTTCTCATCAATTGCAGCTACATAGAGGTCAGAATCAGAGGCTAGAATTTTCACTGTGCTCGTGGCACTAATTCCATTCTTACTCCTTATCACTGCCAATTTAGTAATCTCACCCTTTAAGCCCCAATCAACAAAGTGATCATAAAACTGCACGACAAGGAATGTAAGTATTCATTAGGTTGACACTATAGCAAACTGAATATTGCCAGTAACTCATAAACACATGATTCAATTAACAGTTATAATATTGAAAAATTACATGTGCTCATGAAAAGAGATAATACTAAGAAATAAGGTTGTAAGAAATTACTATTGATGGAGTGCCGGGATGCGTGAGAATATAAGCATATCCCTGCATGACTTTATCAGAGGGGAAAGGCCAAAGCCTTTGAGTAGACCCTGTGTCATGATTATCGATAAACGTAACAGCATTTTGAGGCAAAAGTCCAATCATTCCCGGTGGCTTTCCATTTGAACCCTTCAACCGCCACAACTCACCTCGTACAGCAGCTTGTAGAACACCTTTGGTTGTAAAATCAAATGCTTTGACAACTCCACCAGCAGCTTGAACCCAATCTTTGAGAGCTCCACGATGTGAATCTTGGCCATTTTGCCCGAGAGAAAGATCTTCCCACTTCTCCCCAACTGCAAAATCTGGCAAAGTTCGTTCCATGTAGATTTTGGTAATGCTTGGGGCATAACCTCTTACAAAATCAAATCGCCATCCATCAAAACCAATTTCAGTCTTTAACCAGTTCATCCAATCAGATAACTCATTTTGCACCCTCGGATTGAGATGGTCAATGTCAGGAGCGGGCTGGTAATCCAGTCCAGTGTCAGGATTGCCTGTGCCATCTGAATACTCCTTATCATTCCCGCAAATGAAGGATGGCCCCCAATCTAAACGATCATCTGAAGTTCCACCTTCGAAAATGCTATATATTCCTCTTCCATCTTTCCTCTCAGCAGTTCTATGGTTTATAACTATGTCAGCTAAACATTTGATTCCCTTTTGATGGAAAGCTTCAATTAGAGACTTCAATTCAGCCTGAGATCCGTACTTAGATGAATCAAGATCATAAAGCCTTCCCGGAAGATATCCTGGATTTTTATAGGATGGTAGAACACGATAAAGGTGGCTGTTATTTTTCTTAGAAAGCAAACTGAAAGTGATAAAATAAACGAGAAGGGAAGAAGGGAAAACGAGAGAGAAAGCAAACAAAGATATCATGCTGATATAGATTCTGGTCTCTCTTTCATGCTTTTGGTCAATTGTAAAATCTCTTTCAGTTTAAGAATAGCACTAACAGAGAGGTATATTTTAACTGTTTATTAAGTCCCTCATTTTTTGTTACATTCAATACATCAGCTCAATCGATGCCTCAATGGAAATTTGAAACTTGAAATACCTTGAGGTCCAACTGACTGAGAGGGTGGAGGAAGCCAGACGTGAGTAACTCCGGCATTAGCAATATCAGGGATGGAGTTCTTGAGAGAGTTGTACCATCCTCCTGCCTTGTTACATGACTCCCAGTTGAACCCCTATATGACATCAAACAAAGTTTTCAACAATTAGAGACTCAAGAGTTTCGCATAACATGCACATGGAGTGGTGTGTCTCTGTAGTGCGGGAGAAAGACGAGGGGAATCAATGACTGCAAGCTATACCTGAAACAGTAAGGTTGGAGATGTTAAAGCTGGAACAATATAGAGGAAAAGAGAAAGGAAGCAAAGTGAAGTGACAGAACTCATTCTATTTATGTTGGTCTCTTAGCCCTCTTGTGACGAGGTTGATGATGCTGCTGGCTTTTTATAGGCATCAATCCACATATGGTTCATACATTGTTAACACTGAAACAGAGAAACCCAATTAAAAAAAATCAGCAAAAACGAACAAGAAATGTCTATCTGGAAAGAAAGGATAAGGCAAGAAAAATAGCAAGAAAGATGTTCTAATTCTGAATTCATCTTTGTTTATTATCCCCCTTTCCTTCAGTCTTGATTCACGAATTAGTTATCTGTAATGAATTATTGTCATCGATCTTATCCTCTTATATTGATTCCTGGATATTATAGCCAAAGATGTAGGACTTTGCTGAGAATAATCAGGGAAGTGTTCACATTAAAACGGCTATGTTGGGGATACTCATGCCGATGCAGAGCTATAAGCTGCCAAGTTAGAATATGGTGCAATGGATAGCGACTTCATCAACCAATCAGGCTGCAAATCCTCTTGCAATACAAAAAAGAAGAAGAAAACACTTCGAAACCAAAAAGAATTTTCCATCTTTTCCCGCGAAAAAAGAGTCCTCCAGTCCCACGAAACTCAAGACTCAACAGGAAGAACTGGCCAATGCTGTCTCCTCAAAATGGGATCTATCTGGTGGGTCATTCATGGAAGAGAAGCTGAACAACGTGTAGGAGTGGAACTCTGCTAGTGGAAGAACCCTTGTCACGCCTAATACGATTCTGTTCCCACCATGCCATTATTTTTCCACATACTATAAATAATTCCTACTCACTTCACCGTAAGAATAATACACTCCAATTTTGTACAAGAAAGATGTCTAATTTTTCTTGTAGTAGTAGTAATACGTAACTTGAAATCCTCCTCACAAACACAGGACAATAACATTGCCATCATACGTCAAACATACACAAGTGCTACGAACAAGGTTTCTGAATATGAGAGAGATGGAAAGAGACAATAATAATATTGAAAACAGAGGAATATTTAGCACAGCGGATAAGAGGCAATTGCGGCTAACCTTCATCCGCCCTAGAGAATGATATGGATAAAATCCTTGTCCATCTTTGTTATTATCGAACAGCATTGGATGGCTGTAATGTTGATTCAATCATTTCAGGTTGTTTTAGGAAGAAAAAACTTACGGTTGAGGTCATAAAGAACAGAGACAAAGTGTTGATAATTCGTATGTTAGCTTCTAATATGTTCTTTGCTTAGAAAATTGAGGTATTTTGCCGATTCTCTTAAACAAGAAGCAAACAGATCTCATGGAATTAGCTCTAACAGAAATTGTTAATGCAAGTGAGACTTGATAACAGAGTATATGCAAAGGAAGAGAAGAAGAATGAAGTTAGGACCATATTATTCATACATTAAGGAAATAATACAAGGCTTATATACCCTGTTTACATGAAGAACACTTGTAAACATGTCTAAGAAGTGTAAAACTAGATTACATGCATACTCACACAAGGGACAGCTCAAGACTTTAATTATAGTACAACGAAGCAAACTGTAACAAACTGAGAAAACAAACTTGATTAAGAGTCAAACACTTGCTGCATGCATGCAAGTATTACTTCTCAGCAGAAATGACCACTCTTTTAGAACATCATCGGATGACCAATTTGCTTTCTTTTATTTATTTTTTTTGGTTCTTTCAAATTGGTTCACTTCTTCTCCCATACTGCATAGTTGTTCCCTGAGGTAGCAAGCTGGTAGTTAGAAGGAACAAGGTTTCCAAGGTCCATCTTTGGTCCAATCTTCATAATAATTTTCTCGTCAATAGATGCCATGTAAAGATCGGAATCAGAAGCCAGAATATTAACCGTGCTTGAAGTATTGATCCCATTCCTGCTCCTGATCGCCACCAGTTTACTAATCTCATCCTTCAAACCCCAATCAAAGAAGTGATCGTAAAACTGCAAGAGGAAGAAACATGTTTCCGTTAGGTTGAGAATCTAGCAAACTAAACAATTAAATAAGTGCATTTGGATGTACCCAAGCATTTGACTCATTAGTTAGTGTATTATTCTCTATCTAAAAGATTAAGGTAAAAACCCTTTCTCCCTCAATTGTAAAAAAAAAAAAACAAGTGTATTATTTGGATAGTCAAAAGTTACAAAGAATAGTGACAAGTTACGAAGAAAATGCTGATTACTTCTGCTACTGTTAACTTACAATGGAGGGGACGCCAGGATGGGTGAGAATATAAGCATATCCCTGCATGACTTTGTCAGATGGGAAGGGCCATTGATTTTGGGTGGAACCGGTGTCATGATTGTCGACGAAAGTAACAGCATTTTGAGGTAAAAGTCCAATCATTCCTGGAGGTTTACCATTCGAGTCCTTCAACCGCCATAACTCCCCTTGCGCGGCAGCATTGAGAACCCCTTTTGTAGTGAAATCAAATGCTGTAACAACCCCACCTGCAGCTTCAACCCAATCTTTTAGTGCCCCGCGATGTGAATCTTCTTGTCCAAGAGAAAAGTCTTCCCATTTCTCCCCAACAGCGAAATCTGGTGAAGTTTGATCCATGTAGATTTTGGTAATGCTTGGGGCATAGCCTCTTACAAAATCAAAACGCCATCCATCAAATCCAATTTCAGTCTTTAACCAATTCATCCAATCCGATAATTCCTTTTGTACCCTTGGATTGAGATGATCAATGTCAGGAGCAGGCGGGTAACCCAGTCCAGTGTCAGGATTGCCTGTGCCATCCGAATAGTCCTTATCATCGCCACAAATGAAGGATGGTCCCCAATCTAAACGGTCATCTGGAGTTCCACCTTCAAAAATACAATATATACCTCTTCCATCTGTCCTCTCTGCTGTTCTATGGTTTATTACTATGTCAGCAACACACTTGACTCCTTTTTGATGGAAAGCATCAATCAATGACTTCAATTCTGCCTGAGATCCATACTTTGATGCATCAAGATCATACAGCCTCCCTGGCAGGTATCCTGGATGAAAAATGAACTCCTTTAGGATGTGAACATAGCCATCAACACAGTCAAAGATGGCTAGGACAGGACAATTTTCAAACAAAATACAAGACCTGAATTCTAGGGAAGAGGAAAAAAGCTATCTGCCACTGTAATCAACACTAAAATAGCAATTGATCCTTTGATAGATCAATCAGAACATTCATGTAATCATTCATACCGCATGACATAATATCTATGATCAATGAAGAATTAATTGTAGAGTGTACCCTGGGGGCCAACGGACTGCGATGGTGGAGGGAGCCAAACATGTGTAACACCAGCGTTAGCTATATCAGAGACGGAGTTCTTGAGAAAGTTGTACCATCCACCTGCCTTGTTGCATGATTCCCAGTTGAAACCCTGTAATAACATCAAATCCTTAAATATTAAAAATATGTTTTAATCAAACAGAAGTCTCTGCATGTTGTGAGAAGAAAAAAAAAACATACCTGGAACAGTAAGGTAGGGGATACCAAAGAGGGAAAGACAGAGAGGAAGAGAGAGATAAAGCAAAGTGAAGTCAACATTTGGTCTTTTGTCTTGAGGGCTGAGGTTTTCACCGTCCCATTTATAGGCATCAACTGCATGTTTCGGGATTTTCTGCGTAATTGGTGCTTCAAAGACATGGAAGTAAATTACGCGTTTGGAGAGAAAGTGAATTATGATTGACATTAATAAATAGACAAAAATATTAAATTTCTATTTAAGTCTGATACCAATTAAACGATAGTCGTAATAATGACTCCATGATTATTCCCATCTAGCCCCATCAAAACAAAGAATCCAGTTCGGAAGCTGCCGGAAATTTCTTCCGAAGGCGATTGCACTAATCACAATAAGTCAATAGATGATATTTATGGCGTCTAATGGTACCTGGATTGAACTTGAGCCATTCAATGATGCAATTCCAGCAAGTCTATTTGTCACAATTCAATGTATTGTACTGGTCATCTGGGACGTTTCCACTTCAAGTTCTTTGAAGCTCCTTTTATCTTATAACAGTTGCAACTCTTCCAGACGCCTGATTATTATTTTCTTACAATGCAATTCCCCTTATTTAATACTACACTAATACTAAATCATTGATTTTTATCCTTCGTAGATATTAATCATTTTAAAAACGTTTTAGCCATGACTTTGGCTTTGCTAATGGTATTGCTTTGACATATGTTTACAGTTATTTTAGCCCTTATTTGACTTTGAGAATTGGGCAAAAATTGCAAATATGCCAAACATGGACAGTGACAGCAGTAGAATGTAATTCCAGCTTTCATGGATTTAATGGAAGACTTGGAAGATATATGTTATGAGCAGACTTGGAATAAACAGTTGTATTTGGTGACCAGCAGCAATTGAATGTCACCAGAGTTATTATCGCACAGCCCATTTCAGGCTCTGCAAGTTAAGAAGCTGTTTCAAAGATCTGGATACTTGGTTGGACAATGCAGTTCCCTGATGAAAGATACTAAGATCCCCGGGCCCGAAAAGAGTAGTTAACAAGGTCCAGCGAAGAGCAGGCAAGCATGACAAGCAAAATTAGCATCTGCTCACATGGTGAACTTGACAAGAAGGGAATTGTGAATCTAACAAAGTATGTAGTCTTCGGTTGAACAAAGTAGCATACTGCAATTGATCAAATAAAATGGATTGTGGAGCTTTATAATCCAAATCCTTAGGGATTACAAGTGCCTTATCAATGAAATAGTTTGACGGATGGCTCCCATTTATACTTTTCTAACTTAGCTTTCCCAACAAAAGAAACTAATACAGTAGTACATTAGCATCTCTGCTCACAGCTTTGCTGGCTTTGGGAAAATGTCTGGAGTGAATTTCTGAGCTGCACTCAAGCTCCCTTTAATCTTCATTGCACCCCTGCATCATCGATTTCAACGTATTAATTGTTAGACACATCGAACAGATCCTTAACACTGCAGATATATGAACTGGTGAGGAAAACTCTTGCCAGTGAGTATTGAATGTCTTGTGATCTGTGACCGGGTGGCTGATGTTCTGCTCTTGAATTGATGATCTTTGTGCTACTTGATTGTCTGTTAAGCTTTTGTGGGTCTCTAGGGTAGGAAGGTCCGGTTCTATTTTGTTCTGCTGCCATGATTTGATGTGTTTTGTATAGGCAGGATTGTGTATGTATCAGTCAGGGAGGTGTATAGTTGTCTGATTTTTGTATAGCAGGTTTTTGTGGGTAGCTATGAGTATGATTTGGTGAATATACCTGCTTTTTGTGCCCTGGTATAGCCCACAAATCACTGGTTCTTTACTGATGTTTTTTTAAGGGGATTTTTCCATCCTCCTTTGCAATGAAACTCCAATATTTCAAAAAAAAAAAAACACTGCAACCCCCACTTCCTTCAACATGCTCCCCCCGAAGAAAGAAAATACTAATAATAAAGGCTAAAGAAAAGGCACCTCATAAAGGCAATCTGGGGATTCATCTTCCCAGTGGCAACCTTTATAAAATCATCATCCTTAAAGGAAAATATAGCATCAGGCTTTCCCCCTTCATATTGACCTAAATTTCAGAGCAATAGGATAATGAAAAATTATATAATAAAAAATAGCAGTATCTTAATGTTGCTTTAGTTTTTAGGTCCAATTAATGCAATAAGAAGACTGAATTAATTGTGTAGATCCATGAATCAATGTAGTCATACCTGTATCTCCAAGAGTAAGTCACCGAGATAAAGAGTAAACATATACAAATAGAACAGTCATAACAACTATGTCATATGGCCAAAAACTTGCAGAAATAAACTGCAGGTTTTATCTTTAACATAAGAGCACCATATGTTAAAGTTAGGTAACCCCCTTACCTGCCAGTAGGGTGAAATATTAATGGACTTTGCCATTGAATAGCTAATGATGGACTGCAATGCAAGCTGTCAAAGAATTAATAGGACTTGTACCATGTAAAGCATTAACTAATGAAATGGGGTCTACTCTGCTACCATTGTCATAGAGAGGGTTGAATAACCAAATAATGATCATAGAACAGACATGTAAGAAAATGATACTAGAAAAGAACCCCAACTGGTTACAAAAGTTATACTCTAATTACAGGATTAGGAAAAATGAACTAATCAGCAGATACTGGCAAGCAACCATTTCAGTTTTCGATAAGCAGATATTCTTTTGTAGATAAAAAGTGCTACAGAATTATACATACATATGTAAAACATACAAACTTCAAACTCTATTCCATCAGTACAATTTACAAAGCTGCAATTTTATCAAGAGGCAGAGCAACATAAACAAACCCAACCAAGCATCAAAACCGGGAAAAAAAAATACAAGATTAACAAAAACACGATATGTCTTAAACAAGAAAAGAAGAGAAGAGAAATGGCTAACCTTTTGTAACCTCTCCTTTCTTGAGATCAACAACGTAAGAAACCTCATCGAACCCAATTTTCTATACCTCATAAACAAAACCCAGAATTAAAAAAGAAAAAAACGAACTTTCAAATCAAATTGAAGTTTGAGAAAAGAAAGAAAGAATGCATAAAGTGTGGACCTTGGGGGCAATATTGATTTGGTAAACGAGGCAAATCTTCTTGGTGAGCTCTTTACCAGCATCGGTAGCTAAATGTATCTTCATCATCTCAAACAAATTATCGGATTTCAACTCAGTATTCGCCATTATTACACCAAAATTTGACGAACCGAAGAAGAGGAAGAAGCAGCGATGGAAATTGGCTTTGTCTTATGGATCCTTTACACTGTTTCTATTATGTAGGCAGGAAGAAGGTAGCTGGCGAAAATTTATTGCAATCTGGCAAAGGATCATGGAATGGGCTAGCGTGACACGCTTTCCAATAAAAACTATTTAATATTTTAAAATATGATAAAAGCCTTGCTTCCATACGGCTGTTTCCATTGGGAAGCTGTTTTTTCCCCCTAGTCTTATTGTTCACATATATCAGAGCTTGATCGGAGCTTGATGGCTTACTTTTAGATTAGTTGTACGTTACTTATTGTGAGAACGTTGACAGGGTATTTATAGCAATAACTAGTTAATCAATTCTCTGTACAGGCTTGACGTGGCTGGTCCACGTAGGATTTCGTTTGTTGATTTTTCGAGTACTTTCTGGTCTGGTCTGGTTTGGATCAGGGCTAAGATATTTTCTAGTGGGCTAAGGTTTATCGTAGTTGCTTTTATCTTGAAGTGGGTTTTGGGCCTTTGGGCTTTGAGATTTTCATGAATAAAAACCTATACTTGCTTAGTAATTAGCTCAGCTAGTCTTTTGTTGAAATCTTTGCTCTATTTATTTTGCATTTTACTTTGATAGTAAAGATCTAAACTTAGAGCTTTTGATTTAGAGAAGTACTTCAATGCAATAGTGGCGGGATATAAACTTTTTAAAATTTTTTATTTACTCAGATGTAAGATTGAAACACACGGTCTACTTATTTTGAAATACTCAACTTAAGCAATTAGTTATCATTTAAATAATACCTCAATAGAGTAATTAAGAATGAGGAGGATTAAGTTATGTTAGCATAATAATAGTATTGAAAAAAGTGGTGGAAAGAGCTGTTCCCTTGGATAAATAAGGGGAAATATGGGCCCCATTAAACAAATTAATAGTATGAAGGGATATTTGGATAAGAGTATGGGAACGTGAAAAGCGGATGAGGTGGTGGCGTGTCCGTTTCTCATTCGAAGCTTCTTCAGTTATCGCCAAAAGCAAGTCACTACGCTTTAACTGCCGGAGGTAAGGTGCTGGTCATTTCTTCAAATTCTTCCGTATAACATGAAGAACAGTCTCCTAGTTAGTCTTTGCAAAAGCTTGCCGCTTTCATACCAAGTGTTCTTAATTTTGGCTGCTGTTCTTGTCGAAACCTGTGTCCCTGTTGGCTCAGTTTTAGCAAATCTCTGTCGAGTGTTTGATGAACTATGAACTGTTACATGTTTACTTGTTTGCATTGGATGGTTAAGTTTTATCCATGCTCAACAGAAAGAAACCAGAATTGCTATGATAATTTTGGTTTCATGGAGGAAGTGGGCAAGTGGGAAAGTTACAAAACAAAAGGAGGATCAGAAAATAGGGGTGTAGATTGACTCTGATCTCCAAATTGCTGGATGGGTCTTTTGACCTTTTGGAAAATGGCACCTCTGTTCTTGCTTTAGCTGAAAAGTCAAAGTAGTTTCTTCTTGAAGATTGCAGTTGTCTGGATAGATATAAAGAATACACTGTCATTTATACAAAACGAATGATCCATATTTTCCCACTTTCTGATAACTTGAGAATATGAATAAAAATACTTCAGAAATGTCCTGTATCATACCTTCTGTTTACCCCCTTTCTTTGAAGGAAGTTTATCTAGATATATTGAATATTTGAATATCTGGATAATCAGGAATCTGCAGGTTATTTGTTTACAAATAAAGCATAACTTTTTAACTCGGAGAAAATTCTGATGTTTTTATTCGTTTTTGTCATATATATAGTGAATGAGTGATGGCCGCCTGTTTGATTACCACTCAGCCGATGGAACCAGGCAAGGGATAAGGGACGCTAGAAAGATAACTGCTCAATCAGGCAATATATTAACCCACGTATCTCAACTTTGTCCTCTAAATTCATAAATTTTAAGGTGGGTTTTTTTTTTTTTTAATATATTTCTGTTGTGGAGAGTTTGCTGTTTGCTGTCATGCACAAGCAGAATATTCTCCACAGTAAGGCCTCTTTCATTTTCAGAAAAAATCTTGATGGACAACTCAATTATAGAATTCCCTGTAGTCTGCCCAGCTTACATAATAATCGAAGTCGTGTTAATTCTTGTCTTATGAGGGTCAAAACACCAGCTATGACTATAACTGCTGGCTTGGACTCATTGGAAATTAGCCACACATTGCATCCTGGATGTATCAAAGGTGTGGCTGATGAAAATCAAGGGGAATTATCTGACGAAGATGATGATCTCTGTCCTGTGGACTGTGTTAGAGAATTTAAGACTGATGAAGAGTTTTTGAAAATCCTTGATAAGGCCAAGGAAACAAATTCTTTAGTTGTGGTAGATTTTTATCGAACTTCCTGTGGAAGCTGTAAGTACATCGAGCAGGGTTTCTCAAAACTGTGCAAGGGTTCTGGCGATGAAGAAGCTGCAGTAATTTTCTTGAAACATAATGTGAGTATCTTTCACAAGCTGAACTGTATCCTCTGCAAAGAAAGCCATGTTATTGCTTAGAATACATGCATCTATCCTAAATTCAAGTTCATGGGTGCGATTAGCAACAAGAAACTTAAGATGGAATTTCAGCACTTAACACCATCTAAATTAATTGCACTTACATTCCAAGGGAAGGAAAAAGGTCTCCCAGGAGCGGCCTAGCACTGGCAGTAAATTCTGATAAACTGATATTTATCTGATATGCAAGTGATGTGGATATTGACTATTTAAAAAATGTAATTCATCTTAGAAGGCATAGATCCAGCAGAGTTGGACTCTTAGTTGGTAGGAGGGCACTTTGACCAGACAAAAAATTGGTTGGGTGTCAGTTTGCATTGGACTAAGTTCCTTAGTCATTAGTCTAAATTTTCCTTCAAACCATCACCAGGAATACGGGTGATAAAATATGAGCTCTTATTATATGTTTTTTGGCGCAGGTACTTGATGAGTATGATGAACAATCTGAAGTTGCTGAAAGACTTAGAATCAGGGTAATCTCTGTCGTAGATTATGTCCATTCCTTATGCACAGAGTATTTTGCAAAAAATAGAAGCATCAGATGTTTACAATGAAAATCAAGGATCCAAAGATGCTTAGTTTCATGTTCACTCATTTATTTTGTGAGTACGGATCTACTTTTTGCTGAGAAAACCTGAGCATCATGACAATTTGCTTGCTGACTTTTCCTTTAGATGTTATTATCATCTGATCACCTGTGTGGAGTCATTATCATAGCTGAACCTGATCTTTTGTCTTTTGGCAAAAAGATCAAACTGAGTAGAAATTTAAAATTTTTGTGGAGAAAAGGATCTTGAATAATTACTTATGTCTATTTCTAATCAAGTTGGGAAGAAAAAAAATCACTGTGAAAAGGAAGCTTTTTGCATCAATGGTTTTTTGGGGGGAAACCTCCTTTTTCTGGTCCATGCTACTTCTTAATTCCAAAATCAGGATAGCATATGTGGATGCATCCTAATCTACAAAGCATGCTTTGCTTTTATTCATGCATCATTCTATATTATTATCAGCAATATATAGTCCTTTTTCTTTGATCCTGTACCATGCTGCATTTGAAAATACGATGAATCTCAATGTTGCAGGCAGTGCCTCTCTTCCACTTTTATAAAAATGGAGTTCTCTTGGAAGCATTTCCAACCAGAGACAAGGAGAGAATTGTTGAAGCCATTCTGAAATATACATCTAGTACTCAAGATGCTTAAGCAAAGGTGGTTATATTTTCGACCTTTGCTTTTGCAGTAAAATGTTGAGATAGTTGGACTGGATTAGACAAGAATAACTGGTAGAGAACATATTACTACTGTGACCATTATTCATGGGGTGTAATTAAAATTTGAAAATGTTGTTTCTATTGTTCTGTCTACTGACCGTATGCTTCGAGTGTTCATGTTAATGTCTATCCGCTAAAGATGAAGCCTTTAGATGTGGCTTATGTCAAAATCAGTGGGTCCTCTCCAGCCAACTCTAGATATGGCTTTATCTAGAAATTGAATGATCAGGAATATGGAATGATTCATATGACGGAAAAACCATGTACAACTGATATATGCCTTGCCAACTGACCAGACCAACGCATGATATGGCTCAAACTTCAATCTGATGGCTTGCAGAAAGATTTTCCAATGACAATGGTTAAGTAGGATTCAATCAACATATAAAGTGCTGTGGAGATAACTTTTCTTGACCTTCTTATGCCAGATTCGAAGGATGAGAAGGAAAGAAAACAACCGAACAGGCGTTAGGAACTCAATTGAATAAGCAGGGTAAGGTAAATGTGTTTGCTGGAAGTTCCTCCATTCTACATCAGTACAGGATCCTTTAAAATATCACGGCCAAAGCTGCTGGCAAGACTGAAATGACAATGGGTTCAAAGCTATCAAGCTCTGGTAGCCACATCTAATTAGTGGTGTCCATAAGGGAGACAGCACAAACTGTAGTCAACCAACTTGGTGTCCTTCAAAAGGTGAACGCCAGCCGGAGGCATCCCCCATTCCAACTCAGCCCATTGTGGTTTGACACATGGCTCCCTGGCAGCCTCTGGCAGAGAGCTCCAAGGGTACGGCAAAAGTGGACATGATTTATGGAAAACGGCAAGCAATGGAGACCTAAAACAAGATGTTTCTCCTTTCTGAAATTGCAGATAAATGTGAAACTTGGAATAGTACTTGTTTGCTAATGGAAACCTTTCAATTACCATAGATATCAAATACGGAGTTACAAATTGCTTGCCGCTACAAGAAAAAATATAAGGGGCGTTGAATGACAATGAGAATGAACTAAAACTGAAATAGTGGATGGGAAACAACTTACTATCCCGTAAGATCTTGTAAGGGGATGGGCTACAAATTGGATGGTAAAAATGAAAACTGCCAGGCTAAAAGTTTCACTGTAGCGACTAAAAGAGGGAATGAGGAGGGGGAGGCGCGTTGCATCACAGCTATTATTACAATCCACATCCATGTTGCCTTCTACCTAGTAGATTCTTTCCAATATCTGGTGGGGAGTCCTTGCAGAGGGACTGGAAATGGGCCATATTGACTCCCACTTCGGGATCCTACCACTTCCCACCTGCAAAACCCAACTAAATGTTATTGTCAGCAGTTATATGCAAAGAAACAAGTCTTCTTCCTTCCCCAAAGATATGTAATTTCATCTCGTTTTTTTCCCCTCTTATATTTCCTTCTTGTTGTCTTTTTCGATCATTTTTATGAATTTATAAAGCCATTCACATGAACAAGAATCCCATTTCTAAAACATCTTGATAGTAGAACATTCTCTTCTAGATTGATTAAGATTGTTTTTAGAAGTGACAAAGAAAGAAATCTCTTTGAAGGGGACCAATAGGAGAATATGGTCCAAGTTACGGTTATGCCAGTGCGCTGTTTGAATGACAGGAGCATTACTTCTTATTGGAACTGTGATTTTCAAACAATACCTGAACTTGGAAACCAAGTGGTGGGTCATTATAAGCATCTCCTGCTTTGCAAGCTCATTTCCAGGACAGGCATGCACTCCACTGCCAAATGGCATGAAAGTGTTGCGTTTTGGGGCAACCTACAAAAACAGTGAGTAACTTGTCATATGTCTACAACCAGAGAAGTGCCTTCACTCATATACCATAAAAGTTAATAGCAAAATCATAAATGAAACAGGCAAAGAAAATAGAAATATCCACAGACACATTGGATATATAGCACATTTTAGTCTATTCATACCTCAAACCTGGAAGGATCAAATTTCTGGGGATCAGTAAAAAATTCAGGATTGTGATGAATGTTTCTGAACAGAGGCATTACTTTCCAACCTTTTGGAATGAGGTATCCTGTTGCAAATTTTAGAGTCAGCAGCTGTCTTATGTCATTTTATATGATAATGCTCAGTCAAAGAATGGGATGCTCATAGGTATTTCGGCAGTGAAATCTGAAAAGATTATCTTTTACGGTTTTGCAGTGCTCTTAATTCCATATTCACCCAAAGTGCACTTTTATTTAGTCATCCCAAATAAATTCTCTCCCTCTGCCATTTTTTGTAAATAAATCGATGTATTCTTACCTTTGTATTCCACATCAGCAACTGCTTCTCTGAAAGTGAAGGATATGATGCTTGCCATTCTTAATGTCTCTAATACAGCCTGGTCAAGTTAATGCTTTCCACTGTTAGCCAGGATTGGAGGGTAGCCAAATCCAACTTGGCAATTCATGAGAAGAACAAATTTCACTGTGACTAGATGCCTGTATAAGGCAAGTCATTATGATTGACAGTTCTCACCTTGTAAGTAACTGGCATATTCCTTGTCTGTGACCAACTCAGCGGCTGGTTGCCTTCTTCATTCAGTCTTCTAATTGCCTTCTGTTCAGCCTACAAAGACAGCCTCACCAATAGTTAATAAGATTTTCTGTATCTGGCCTGGAGACATAATTTCAATGACAAAGACAAGCAATAAATTAATGGGGAGGGGGGACGAATCTAGAACCCGCAAAGATGGTTGGACTTGTTCCATGCTCTTACCTTAACTGCCTCCTGAAGTTTCGGATTGTCATGGAGGTACTTGACAATCCATGTCATGACGCTGGCAGTGGTGTCCTGAGCAGCGAAGAGTGTTCCAATGATGTTATCCGCGATTTGATCATAAGTTAGGACTTCCCCTTTTTCATCTTTGTAATTCAGTAGACAACCCAAAAGATCCTTTTCAAGCAACCTCTTCTCCTTCCTTTCACATATGATATCACTCAAAATCTTACTCAACCTCTTTCTTGCCTGCAGGGAATTCGTTTTAATGGAATAGGAACGAAGTCAGTTAATAATTTGACAAGTCAAACTTTCGAGAAGTTTTCTTCCAAGAAGAAAACAAGATAAAGGTCAGAATAAAATCAAAATTAACAGAAATGGGATTGGTTATATGATATGATATTCTGCTTACCAGTAATGCCTTTTTGTATGGAGTTCCAGGGACGTTTGTAGGGAAGGAATTGTAGCCTCTGTCAACTATGAAGTAGTTCTTCTTAAGCTCCTCCCTATATCGAGCTTCCAAACGGCCAAAAATCAATAGTATGCCAACTTCGAAAGAAAACTGCAACCATTGGAGACAAACTTAGGTCAGGAGATTCAAGACTTCATTTATTAATACCAGAAAAAAAAAAAGAGAAAAGAACTGTGTCAATAAGGAAAAGAATTATAAAATATTGAACCCAATCATTTGTTTTGACGACATTGAAGCGAAATTAACCTTTTTCATTTCATGAAAAGTGTTAATAACACGCCCCCCATCCCAAGAATCTAAAGCAGAGGCTGCTAGGGCATCGATATCTGCCACCAAGTTCCGAATTGTTTCAATGGACAATGAGGCTTGAACCAGCTTCCTGAGACGAGTATGGTAGTCTCCTTGGTGAAAAAACAGCGCAGCTGGACCAACCAGACGCTCCTTGCTTTTGGGGTACGTGGGCTTGAACAAGTGAGCTTGAGTTACCAATACAAAGCGAGCAGCCTCAGGGCTAGCCAGCATAACAGAAGGACAGCCTAGGATATGTGTTTTGAAAATCTCTCCATACCTGAATCACCATGTTTTAAGTTTCACCACAATGAAGTTGAGTGGAAAAGCACAAAAAGAAAAGAATAAAAAAGACAGCAAAACACTTTGAAAGTCAGAGCAGCAAAACGAAGGGGGGTTTGAAAACCTTTTCTGCTTGGCAGCAAAAAACACATTTGGGTCTTGAGAATAGAGTTGGAGAGTTTCTCCTATATAAGGCCATCCCATTGACCCTGGAGGAAGCTCAGCCTCAGCTCTTCCTTGGGATTCTTTCTTTTCCCTTCTTAACAATCTATATAAGACTACAGTTATGAGAAAGATAACAGCATATGCAAAAATCCCAGCCATTTCCGTCTCGGACACTCTCCTTGGGAGTAGTCAAGTTAAACCTGACCCGTAGAATCCAAGATTTTGGTTTGGTGATAGGAGTCATTGGTGGAGGGAGAACGAATTGGCTTATATAGAGAAATTGAAAGAAGATAGAGACAAGGACATGGGTTATTTTTATTTAGATTTTGTCATGTTATGGTAAGATTCTTACAAATCTAACAATAAACCATTGGACATCATTATGCAGACAATTTTCACCAGTTATTGAGCTAATGCTTCCAATTCAACATATCCATATCTTTATAATCCTTAGCTACATCTTATTAGACTTCTCAAATTTATGTTCATGAATCCAATTCTTTTTTATTTATTTATATATATATATATATGGAATTTTACAGCGTATCCCCCAAATTGTAAATTTAATCACTGTGGTCTGGAAAAATAAAGGTGCAAAAATCTGATTCACTTTCCTGTTATGCTGCCTACCGCCAACTTGTCGGAATGTGGGGCGTGAACCAGTAGAGGCCAAGCACATAACCGTAAAACGGTAAGCTTGTAATTTAATATATGGAAAATCTGAGAATCCATCCATAATCGTCCAGGGCCCATTGGCCAGCTCTTCAAGACACATCTGGTCTAAACTAGAGAAGATAAGCCATAATGATTGAAAATTGAACAATAATTTTGCAATCATCCTGTTAGGTTCAAATTTTACCATAAAGTTAAATTCTATTAGAAAATATAGCTTCCAGTGTAATATAGTAAATATATAATTCAGTAAATTTTTTTAATCAAGAATAATTTTTTATAAGATACATGCATTTATCATTGAATCAAATACTTAGACATTATTCTATATATTTTATTAAATGTTAATTTGTTAAATTTTAATATTAAAGAAATTAATTTTGATTCAATATTGAAAAACAAATAACTTCAAATATCATTATACGTGAGTTTTGTCTAATTTGATAATAATTTACTGGTTGATTTAATTTGCTCGTTGATCAATTTCTTGTCAAGTAATGTTGTAATATATGATGCAAATGTAATCTCAGTAACAAAGAAAGCAAAAAAAACCAAATTATCCAATAAATTAAATAAAACAATACAATGGGTCGATGTGAGGAACTTAATTTGTGGCTTCTTAATTTTCCAAAAAAAAAAAATTGTGGCTTTTGATTTTACAGAAATAAAACGAAGTTGAAAACTATCCCAGCCAGGGATTTTGTAAAACAGTAGTTAATGTTCATTCTGTGAGAATAACAAATCAAATTAATGGGGAAATTAAAGAGTGGCTTGAAAGGATGGAGATTTCTAGAACTTTAAAGATATTTAATGAATAATCAACAAAAGCTGACACAATATATTTTGACTGCTGGAAACAACTAGCTGGTAGCACTTTCCATTTGACTAATTATAGTATGTGTATGCAATAAATTCTGAGGCAACCAAAGCATGTATAGCTAGAAAACAAAAAAGGGATTTTGAACATGTTCTCCTAGATGGACCATGCATGCCCTTTGAATTGTTATCATATTCACCAGTCTATGTTTATTTGACAATAACAATCAAGCAAGTCTAGAAAAGATGCAAGCAAATGATGAATTGGGAAGATGATGTGTATATATGAGGAGAATGGACGCATGCTAAATCCCAAGCTCAAAGATTTGTATCATGACAAAACCCCAGTCATGATGCCTGTCAGATATTGAATTCAAGCAACTGTAGATATTTCACTCTAAATTCCACTGGATAATGAAAAGAAAAAGTATGGACTGTTAAAGGTAGCAGCCAGTGTGAAAACAAGCTTACCATCTAGCAGAAAGAATGTAGGCATGTAATGACATTACAATTCTCAAAGAATGAGAGAGTTCATGTTGTTTGAAGGGAAAATGATAGGAGTAAAAGGGGAAGAGTGGCATCCAGCTCAACAGGTAGAGCACGGGGCGCCTCATGTGATGTGTGAAATTCTTAGGATCTCCGATCCCCAGACCCTCAATCCTCCTATCGGAAATTACATGGTCCCTACCATCTCACTGATTCTCCCAGCCCCACTCCTTGTCGGTGTGACGACCAAACAAAAAAAAGGAAAGAAAGAAAGAAAGAAAGAAAATTGTTTGTTTGTGTTGGTTCTGCGGACGTGGAAGTCTCAGCAGCATTGGACCGCAAACTTTTTCGGTGTACGCCCAATTTCTCACACTACCACGATTGCTCAAAGGAGAAGGCCAAAGGCATAGGGCTACGCTCATGTCCCAACGAATGTGCCCGTCACCATCACAGCTAGCTGGAGCTTGACACATTTCTAGAGACTTCCGATTCGAGAAAAGTCACCCCCACACCCCATCCCCATGGCCGAACCAGGAAGGACCCCGAACTCACTCATTTCTCTTTCGCCATCCTTTTTTGTTTTTGCTCTATTCATTAGTAGATATATATATATATATATATATATATGTGGTGAGTAGTGATTCAATGTAATCATTGGAATTACGGTTTTCTTTTGGTTATTAGAGAGATGGGTTTAGAGTTCTAGAAACAATAATCTTATTACTTAGTTGTACTTATTAGGATTTGCCGAAGTCGATCATGACACTTCGACGTCGAACTTTAGCTTTTATACCTTTTTGAAGATGCACATGCAAGATCGCAAGTCGTGAGTTCAAGTCTTCTTTGGACTGGGCTCATGCACCCATATATAATTAATGAATATTACAAATACTTAGAAAACTACTGTTGCAATGTACATTTCATTCATCATCGAGGGTAAGACCAGTAATACCATAAACAATAAGGTACCTGTCAAAGAAATTTTCAATGGATAGGAGTAGATTCTTGGCAGTGATAGGGGTCTATCGATAATCTGTTCAACATTAATTTGTACATATCCATTACATTAAGTACTGTCTGCACTTCATTTAACCTATCAAAATATGACACGAAGACTAGCTCATGAAAAAGAAGAAAAACTAGCTATATAGGACATAGATACATCTAAGTACAGAAGAGATGTCGATGTCCAAATATCTTTGACACAATCACGTGTGAAAGAAAAAAACTTGATAAATTTTTAATATCGTCAAATATTCAATCTAAAACTAATTATCTTTATAAATATAAGAGAATCTTGATCTTATTTTAAATATAAATACATTCGAATTCTTAAGTGTTTCTTGCAAAAAATTTAAGACATGATGAGAAGTGGCAATTCTCCTTTATGATCAACTTGATATCTTGAGTAGTTTTCTGCCAAAAACCCTAACCATGATTAGAAATGTTTGATATTAATGTATCATTGAAATGCACTTGAGTATTTAATTTATTAATTAATATATAATTTCATAATTTAAAGAATAAAATTTAAATCTTTTTTTTAATTATAAAAAATAAATATACCATCCGATACACATTTCAATCAAAACACGATCGATGTTGGTCAATCACTTTAAATTCAAATGCTAAACAACTGGAAAAAAAAGATGACTTTATTAGAAATGCAACTCCATTAGCAAAACTTAACGCTTTTGTTTGGTGTATTTCGGGTATGAGGCTATCTTTTCAACGTTAACAATCATACATGGGAGAAATGCAGACTGTACTAAGATACTGGAAAGTGCCGCTTGTCGAACAACTTGTCCCTCTTACTTCACTCGCAACGACACCCAGTTGGACATTGATTTGATTTACTTAACCTCCAAATGACAAGGAAATCTCTCCTGGATCCTCAGTTCGTCAATCATTTAGGCCAGGTGTCGGCTGCTTACATGGTTCAGGGTACGATGTGCACCAGCTTTGGGACAGTATCGCATTAATATTATCATACACTAAGGTTGTCTCGAGCTGTATTTCCTTCTATAATGTGAATTTCAAAGAAGCTTTGATTGATATCTAATAAGTAATTTTAAAAATTGAAGTGAGATTGTGATTTTCGACAGCAAGATAATGAAACATGTGAGGAATGTGGACATCCTAAGCAGATTCATAATGAACTATATATTTTTGCATTCAAAATGTTTGAGAACATGAACGTCATAGATACTCATCCCGACGTTTTCCAATCGTTACACTTTTAAAGGCTTCCAAACGATTTCAATTAATATTTACGGTTTTAAAGTGCTTTCATTATGTTTTTTTTTTTATCTTATTGTCAAAATATTTAATCTCAAGCTGGTACAGAAATAAGATTGTAAATTCACAAATAAAAACACAAGATCTTGTGCTCATTCTTTTTAGAAAAGTATATTTTTTATATATTGATGGGTACAAGGGAGAACACAAAATCCGGTGTTTGTATCTCATACATATATAAAATAAGTTGACTGATAATCTTGTAAAATCCGATATTCAATGAACACGAAATCTCTTATTGATATTTAGTTGGTATGGTGTTTTTGCAACTGTAGTTTGTTGTTTTTGAACTCATTCCAAGGATGAAATGTTCTCTACTTCTTTATTTCCTAGTTGATGTCGTATAGCCTACTAGTCTTTGCAATAACTTTATGATAGAGCAACAGGAGAAGGTGTAATAATGAAGGTGAAGAAAAGAGAAGCTTCAGTGAAACTTTTCTCCTACCAAATAAAAACTTCAAGAATTTATGTGAAGAGTATCTCCATTCTGGTGCATGCACATTAGGTACTAATAAATTAATTTTTCTTTCTTTTTTGGGGTGATTGTTTTGTTGCTCTTTCTTTTTCTATGGTGAAAATGGTTACTTCTAGCAGTACTTCCTTTTTATTAATCAATGATGTACTCACACATATTACAAGGGAATTCGAATATGAAATCCTCTGACCTTTTTATATGGAGCCAAGATCTAATCAATACTCGAAATTTGATTTAACCATCCTATCATATGTAGTTTCGTATAGAGGAGAGATTAAAGAATGTCCTTTTCGCTTGTATTAGTGCTAAATGCCTAATCAAACTTCTTACGCACAAGGATTAGGTCTAGGAGATAATATTCTTCTTCCTCAAACTCTTTTGACGGGCTATATCTTATATAGAAATGGGATTTTTCCTCTCATCGCAAAAAAGTTTGATCCAAACTCCTGCATCCACTTGAACAAAATTGATAAGGGAGCCAGCGGAAGTCTAGAACTAGCTAGCTAGGCCCTAGGAACACTCACTTGCTCCATTATTTCAACATCCATGCACATTTTCCAATTTCGATCTAATAAGCATGCATTGCTGCTAGATACCGATCACTTCTTAGTTGTTCCTACAGCGTCGTTATCCTTGTAATGGCTTAGTGGTCTTGCTGCTCGGGAATGCTTCAACATATGCATGGCTTTTCACCAGGAGAAAATCTTTCTTGGATTTTATTCCCTGTCCAATGAATAAGAAAGTTCAGATTTAGTGTACCTTAATTAGTTTCCTCTTCTTACAGTGTGAATAAACAAAATAAAATAAAATATTCAAACACTTCGAAATTTTAATTAAAATTACTTGAAACTATATTAGTTTTTAAAGTAGATATTTCGTCAAAAAAAATATTTTTGCTGAATATATAAGTCTTGTTGTTAGTCCACTGTCAATATTTTTATTAATTTCATGACGTGATAATATTTTTAAGATAATTTTATTTTTTATTGATTTTAAAATTATCATTAAATAAATTATAATTTTTATTTTTTTTCAAAAAAAGAATTTCGACCTCTCACGGTCAATGATCGAGCTTCCTAAGAGAACACCGACCCAGTACTCTACAAAGGAGGGTAAGAAGGAGATGAGTGGTTGACTGGTGTAAGGAAACATCGCAAGTTAACTTGAGAGAAAAAATAATAATAAAATTTTTTTTTTTTTTATAATTGGAGGTAGGGATATTCATACTTTATTTTTTAAATAGGAAGATTATGTATAAATTAATGAGCCAAATACTCGAGTGTAAAAATATTTTAAATATTTTATATTTAACATTAACGCCGTTTAGACGTTTGAAGCAGAATATTTATTTTGAAAATTAATGAATCTTCGTATAATTTTAATTAAAATTTAAAAATATTTAGGTATTTTTCTCAAAAAAATTTACAAAATATGACAAGCTTTGTCGGATTTGATAGTTGTTTGGTATGTTTTTCATAATTTTGTATTATCTATCTAATAAACTTTATATATATATATATATTAACGTCACTCTTATCGTTAATTTGTTGTACTAAATTTATGATTTAGAGTTTAAAATTAAATTTTTTGATAGATAATAAAAAACTAGACAAATAATGCAAAATCTAAAAAGAACACCGAAGGAAGTATCAAACGGGGCATTTAGTCTAATTAATAGGTGCTTAATTATTAGGAAATCAAACCAAATTCGGATGCTTGTAAGTTAACACAAAATGAAAAATAACCACTCATCAACCTGTGTAATCCTTGAAGCGATCACTTGTAATAGTGGCAATAAGAGCAACATTATTTCATTGCAGGGATCAGAAGGGGAAAAGGTTTTTGGTTTTGGCTTTCGAATCAAGGTGGACCATAGAGGACATGAACCTACGAAATATAGAAAGAAAGTATAGCAATAGGGAATTAGGGATGTCTGAATTAAGTTCATCCAAGGAATCATATGAATCGTGTGCAATGCATCATTCCCGAAAGTTGGAGGCTATAGATTTGCGCTACATCAAGTTGCAGGCTGTAGAGGGGAAGGATGGAAGATCTTGAACAACTCTTTAGTTGCTCATTACCCACGACTTTTTTGAGCTTGAGCTGCACCGAAAACGCCAAGATATCCCATCAGGTAATCACCATGGGCAATGCTAGAAATCTCGCTGCTCCATGATGAGCTTACTCTATATATATTGAACATGAATTAGACATATAATGTAAAATTATAAAACTAAACACTAAATAAAGATAAAAGATTTCTATTCGTATATATTAAAGATAAATTATCATTGCTAAACTCTCTTTTATCAAAAAATAAAATAATGAATCTATTCCCCCATGTTAATAAAAACAAATGGAACATAACAAAGGGCTTGTAATCGAACAAGATGCTATGGGATGGGGATGATCGGTGGTCCATGCATATATTTTGGTGAATACTCCAAGAAAAAGAGGAATATAATCTAAAGGCCGCAGCAAGTCAACACTTGTTTAAATATCTCCTTGTGTGAAAGAACTCTTGTTTTGAAAGCAGAAGTTTTTAAGTTCCATTCCATCTGTGAAGCATTAGAATATACATATGATGACTCCCATGGCTGCCCTACCACAAACTTCTTTACCTGGGCTTGAGCTTAGCAGCAAGCCTCCATTCCATACACAGCAAAAAGTATCGAAAATTTAAAAGTCTAAAAAATTTCGGAAAGATGGTATATTCATGTTTTACTTTTTGACTTGTAGTGATTCATACCTTGCATGCTTTGCTTGTCACTTAGTTTTATCCAGCTCAATTAGTCGGCTACTTTATCTGCAACGTATGTTTGTCACGTCGTTGATCAAATTTGTGAAAATTTATTGTAATGTTAAAAATATTATAATACTATCTTTTCAATTTGTATAAAATTTAAATAATTATGAGGTGAAATGATTGAGAGCGGTGTATTAATTTTTGAATAATTAAAACAAGAGTGAAAATGAAAGGGGATGACAAGGGGCCGGAGAAACAAAAGGATAAGAAAAGAAAAAGAGAGTCATTGGATGCTTTTTAATGCTTGCAAAACAAAGGGTACATGATGCAAAAGCTGAGAGATTGGATTGCGAGGCGGGGAATGGAAAGGAAAGATATTCTATAGCTGTTCATCATAATTTATAGCCCAAGAGAATTTGTGGTTGACGGTGAAAATTGGTTAAATATCAGTATCCAATCATCGGGGTGTTCCTCCGATGGGGATGGATCTGCGAAGGACCCATCAAGGGAACTTGTTCCAGCTGGAGAGTATCTCCGAAAGTGCCTGAATTATTGCCTTGTGTTATTTGTTTTTGAGGTAAATAAGGAATCTTACAATTGAGACATAAAAACCCCATCAAATTGGCAAAGCCCAAGGTCGATCTTGACAACTCTTACAGCCCCCACTTTGCTTTTCCCATCGATTACTTAGTACATTGAATGGTCAAAATGTGGGCTCTCAATCTCATCATCCTCCCTTTGATCCATAACACGACTACTACTCATTTGCCATGGCGAATGACTCTGAATAAAGAAAAGCTCTGTTTAGCTTTAATAATTCTGGCCATTTGTAGGAGACGAAGACGAAGATGAAGACGAATGAATCCACGCAGCATCATGATGATGGAGTGATAACCCATGATATGGCAACATTTCATTCCTCCTACGCCCCGGAAAGAATTCAAACACTGTTTCATTATTTTGGCTGCGAGATGCCTTTATGTTCACTATGGTAATTTGCTCCCTCTTCACCGGTCGTTTTCGTGAGTTTTGGCCTGTCATCCATTACCGCAATTTCCCTTCTACCGTCTCCTTTTCTCTTGTCTTCTTCACTACATCCTTTAATGCTACAATAGGGAAAAGAAAAGAAAAGGGACAATGCGCATGTCGTCCTAGCTAGAATGATTGATTGATTGCCACTCAAAGCCTGGCAATCCTTTGGTAAATTTGGTCGTAACCAAAACAAGTTAGTTGAACATCATCCAGTTCAAAAGTGGATGCAAAAGCCAAACCTTAAAAAAAAAAAGGAAGTAAAAAGCCTTTTTTTAATATCGATTTCCCAAAATATCAAGCGTATTATTATAAAATAAGCTGGCGGAAATCAGATGCATGACAAACTCTTTTGATCAATCCTAAAGCACCTCCTCGAGGAACATTGCCACTTACCATAAGTCGACCTCACTCTTGAATCCGATGGAAATATATGTTCCTCAACAACCGAACATAAACTCTTAATGGGGTTTGGTTTTATTTCAACGATGGGCATTATATCAAACTTGTGCTCCTTCTTCATTCAATTATCAAACTTTTGAGGCATCCAAATGCTTGATTCGGATGCATTCCACTCCATGAAGTTGGGACAACACAACCCGAGCCTGGCATTATGGGATTAATTTTGCCCCCAAACGCTAACTTTCTGATCTGAAATGATCATCGACAAGACTGTATCACGATTGTAACATAAGAAACCATAATAAAACCCTGAAAATGTATAAATGAAAAATTGGCCCAGAGATATTAACTCTTTCAAGGTTTACATGATTCCTTTATTACATCTCTTTTAAAATATAGTTTAGATTCATTCATCCTTTTTGTTGTCCGAAACATAATAAAGGTAGAAGAACCAAGGCTTTCGATATGGACTAGAACAAGCGTCGAAGACTCGCAGGGAGATAGCAGTATGAAGCATAGGCCCAGCCCAGCCAACAAAACGGACGATAGGACAAGTCGATAACCTTCTGATGCACGTATATAGATTCATCTTATTGGTAACCTGTTATTGATTTTGTCAAACACAAGACAGATTCTCTCGGTCTCTCTTTTATTTTTTATTTTTTGTTTTTTCACAAATAACTTGCTCTGTGCAACAATACAAGTGCATGACTGATAAATCAATAGTTAAACACCATACTAAGTGAAAAATTGTAAAAAAAAAAATAGACATAGCTAGAAGTAAAATGCCAAAAGCTGACGAATGATTGAATGACATATCAATTGATCTTTGTGGAAATTGGATGAGGGAACAGGGTCAAACGAACGTCTAATATGGTTAAAGGTAAACTTTAAAGGCTGGGCAGTACACAAAACTAAAACTGCCCAGAGGGCGTCCTGAGACTACCCTCTATCAATTCCAACTGCGCCTTAAATGCACCACAGCCTTTCAAAGGCTGCTTCCAAAAACAAATATTCAAGCCCTTTCTCCATAAGAGTTTTCGAGTACTGGAACGCCAGGGCCATATATCAATCGGCAACGTTCACTAAATGAGCTAACCAGTCGTGAGACTACTTCCTTAAAGAACATGGACGCCACCTGTTGGAGATATCAAAAGATTAGGATGGTTCAAGCTCACCTCAGTAAAGAAAGTTCTAACATTTGGGTCAATGTATTCACAAGAAGGTATGCACTCTCTGACAGTAAAATGCTGTAAAAAGGCATGCAGCTGACAATTACAGCAGCAGTTATATTACAAAGAATAGGTGAAGAATCAAGTATTGAACAAGAATATAAAAGCAACTATTCCAGAACTAGGCCCAATTTTATCAGAGGAAGAGATGATAATTCAAATGAAGACGAGGAGAGTGACTGTTACATGCATATCATGTGAGGGAAAGTCAAGGAAAAATAACATACAGGTCATGATCAATGGTTGTTGAACATGTGAAAACTATGCTGCTGAAATGCATGCAGATGCTAAGAAGAATGATCTTTATGAGTAGTCATGCACAGCATTGGCAATGATCTATCAACCCCCTATACTCCACTATGCGGCCATTAGCCCATTACCTGCCGGTAAAGCGGTGACTGGAACTTAAAGTCCACAAGAAAGTAAAGGTTGCAAGTTCCTGGAACTGGTCCAGGACTGAATTCCCAAATGTTTATCAAATGATCAAAAAGGCTACTTTCAGATGCAGTTGACTGCAAGGACATAACAAAGGGTCAGATCATCGGCAAAAGAAGAGGGAAGAAAATTACATACAAAGACGAAAAGGACAATCTTTGGAGTGACAAGCCACACAATATCTTTTTATAAGTCACAGATGCAAAAAAGTAGCCCACAGGTGGCACAGTAAATCATAAGCTAAAATGATCTATAACTAGTAGTATTGTCATTTTAATTCCAAGGAAAAAAAGAGATCACAACATACTCCCATATGCAGGTTATTAAAATGGCAAATGTGGCTGCTCCATAACATTCATTCAAACATTCAAGTTTGAGTTAGTTATGACTGGAAATAAGGTTCTTTCTTCCTAATTTCAGAGGTTCGCAGCTATGGGTCCTTTTTTAATATTGGGGCCGGGCAGGGAGAGAGAGAAAGAGGTGCAGCTATTCAAAATTGCTTCATTTTGTTGAAATTTATGTTGAAGAGATGAAACACTATATCTCAATCATGTCTTTTCAACTTCATCCAAAATTTTGCATCTAAGTCCCCTAATGGCATTGAATAGAACTTACAAACAAGTTGCTACAAAAATTGCTCACACATTTACAATATTGCTGAAAATTGCTGGTTTATAGCTCTCAAGATCCTCCTTGGTTAGCTCCAAACTACATTTAGAACTACTCCATTTCCAAATTAGGATAATGAAAACTTAACAATTCGCAAGTAAAAATTCACTACCTCGGTAAGGTCTATCCGGGGATTGTTGAAGTTTATATTTTGATACACTATAGCATGCACAAAATATATGTTCTCACTCATCGTTAAAATCCAGGAAATGACAAAGCACAGAAAGAAGTTCACAAGAAAACTTAACAGCTCATAGAAATTCAAATCCATTGTACCCTGTAATTCTAACCTAACTGCCCGATAAAAAGTCCGGCGTTGAGCATATTCAAACATCTTCCAGCATCAAGATGCAATATCTTAATACGATAAACATTGCAAAGTGAATACTTACAACAACTCACAGAAAACGAAATAGAAACTAAGCAATAAGAAAACCAGCTGCTTTAAATAGAGAGTTAACGTTATTATTACCTTTACAAACTTTGCTCTGCTTAGTTCTACATGAGAAACATAACTCTCAACAAGAAACTTAAAACCAATCTCTAGTTCAGCATCAAAGGATCCGTCCGGATACCGTTTAATTATATCAGACCGCTGACACCAAGGAACAAATCCATGATACAAATCAACAGCTGCAACCACATCAAATAACTGCTCCGGCGAATACCTAATCATCAACAAACTCTTTTCAAATTTGCCTATTCGCCACGCCTTAATCCAATAATAAATCATTAAAAAAAACATTATCTTTTTATAAATAAAGGAAATAATGAAACGAAGATATTGATAAAATTACCCCATGACGATTCTCTCCTCGTACACTTTCGATAAAACGCCACCTTCTTCGCCGTCTCCGCAGCCTAAAAACCGTCTCCTTTGGAGAGCGTAATTATCGCATAAGCTTTTAAATGAAAAATTAGATTCCTCTTTACGCGAACCGATTAACGGGTGAACCGACGGCGTTTTGATAGCGGCAATGTTACTAAACCATCGGATTTCATCGAATTCCCGCGAATGGCCTCCGCTCTTGACGTGCCTAACGAAATGGCTAATCCCGTTTCTACGGGATATTACGGACCCGACCGCCTTCGAGGTGGATAAAAATGGCGGCATTGTAGATTTTAGGAATTAGCTCCCCAGTTTTTTGAGAAAAGGAAAGTGTAAAGGAATAAAAAAAGATTGGGAGAAATGGAGCGGTGAAGTTCAATAGCGAGAAAGGAGGAGAAATTGGAGAACCAAAATTGACAAATTGGAAACCCTCGGTTGACACGTCAAAGAGGGAAAAGAGTCGTTCCTTAGACGATCAAGGACGAGTTTACTAGGGAAATTTCATTTTTCGGACAGCGGAGCGAGATTCCAGGATATGCCGGTTCGGTGTTATGGAAATATTAAATAATAATAAAATTTTTTTTTTTAAAAAAAAAAACCAAATGAAGTTATATTTGTGAAATTTAATATAAAAATAATATTTAATAAATAACTTGTAAAATAATGGGTAAAAAAATTACTGTAATTATCTTAAAATTTTATTTTAAAAAATAAAAAATAAAATTGTTGGATTGTAACTTTAGTTTTCCCCAGTATATGTATATCTTCACATGCATTGCATGAAGTTGCTTCTCTAACTCAACTATTACAAGTAGCCCAACCACATAAAGCAAATTCCAAATTCACTTGTCTTCTTCCTTGTTGAAATGAATCAAAACTCCTCAACTAAGCAATTATTAGAAGATGGTTTGATTCACTTGAAAACACTCTTTTACAGCAACATCAACAGGAATGGCGACCCTTTTTGTGTCAGGCCATCTCCATACATTACGTACAGACCTTTGATGACACTGCAATAACTATATATATATATATATATATATATATATCACATACAAGATTCAAAATTGCACGATACTGAGAATAATATTTACAGATAGAAAGAACATCGGTACACCAACATGGGATGTTCTTGACCCAAGAACTCATCCTTCTACCACTAATGCCACACTTGCTGTATTTACAAGAAATAGGAAATGGTCCTACATGAACTACTACTCCCGATCTCTCATGTCTCTGTCGCTGTCACATGCGAGTAACAAAAATATTAAGGAATCGAAATTTAGGTTACAGAAGTCACCAAAATTAATACGTATGGAGTTTCCTTCGGTTTGCTCTCACTGTATCAGGATGTCTAATTAAACAAACCATTTGCCTTTTTTCCAAATGAACCACTGGTGGAAGCCCTTTATGAAGCTGCAGGTATACACTTTCAGCTACTTCTACTAGGAAGGCTTTGGCTTATGGAACAACCTAAACACAAAGAGAGAAATGGCATAAAGTTAGGACTAGAAGAAAGTGATTTATATTATTGTCTTAGTAACAAATGAAAGGATCGCTGTAATAAATTTTACCTGATCATTGCATGAATCGTTTCCCAGAGTTTTCAGCTTCTTGGAGCTGCAGTCACTGCATGCCTTTTCACCTTGCTCTTCATCTTCAAAGTTCTGATCTGACACCTCTGCAACAGCCAACAACCACTAGAGTTCAATTATTTTGATAGCAAGAAAATGTGCTTCAAGCAGTTTTCATTTTGTTATAAGAAATCCAACAAAATACAGAGAATCCATTGTAGGCATTGTACTAAAAATTAATACATGAATGCTCCTAAGTCCTAAACCCCCACAAATACATATAAGCCACTGAACTAAACATCAGCTGCAATAGCATGGGGCTGGCTAGATGATCTTTTGTTTCCTTTCTTTTTTTTCTCTTTAAAGAAAGCCTATAACTCAAAGTTATTCTCACTTGCAAACATAAACAACCCAAAGATTAAGACTAATTGCACAAATCTCAATATCAAACGCTAAGCTTTGTCATTTTATTTTGTTACATACCTATCATATATAGATAAATCATGATTATATTAGAGTTGGAAAACAGAACCAAAAGCACTTCAAGTGAAACATTGACAGATCAACCATACAACTTGAAATTGTTAACTTCGAGCAAGTTTCAAATTGGATGGATTAACCAAGGTAATTCACAGAGTAAATTTAGATTTCGAAAACGGATGCATGCTTAGACTGGTAATACATTTGTCTCTACTATGCAAGAGTAACAAGCAAGTAGAGGTACATAATAGAGATGAAAAAGAATTAACCAACAAATGCCAGATGACAAATAATAATAAAGGAACATATTTTAGACAATATTATCATGAACACACCAAATACCACTGCAACACCAGTTTCACCGCCACATTCCAATAAAGTCATATACACGATATTGCTCTATTCACATTTAAATTGTTAGTTTTACCTTTGGATGAAGCACTACCTTGTACACTACGGGAGGCTGGAACATGAGACATAGATCCAGATCTGAAGTGCTGGACCCATGGACTTGCCACAAAACAATGAGAGCCATCTGTTTTATTTAGTTGAAATCCAGGTCTTTCAAAATTGATCTTCTTCCAGCTACCACCTCGAAGAACCTTAAACTGAAAATAAAGATTGGAACAAGCAGTAAATAAGATTCTGCATAGGGAATGGAAAGGCAACCAATCACGGAGCAGAGATCAGTCTTGAACCTGGCCAGAAGAGGTACAAATATTACAATGTATCTGCCTGGATGATTTTGATCTTGACAACTTCTCCTTTTTTGAGTTCCAGCCAAGAAAATTCATAGAATCATATAACTGGTTAACAAATGATGCTTCCATGGATTTGAGGTATAAACTATGCTTCTCATCTGTCCATTCTGTAGAGGTAGATTCTGTCACCAGGGAATCCTGTTGTATTATCATCATTAACACACGATCAGCAATAAACAATCCCAATTGAAAAGTTACATGTAAAGAGACCACCATCACACCCAACTACAACTACAGCATGCATCAATTTTCTATGCTTCCAAGTTACAAATCCTCAATTAATAGTGCCTAACTACCAAAGCTAACTCAAAAGTTAGAAACCTTTGGTAATCAATTTTCTTAAAACGATATTTAATGCTCATAAAATATTAGTAAACGAAAATCCAAAGAACATGCATGATTGAAAATGATAAAAATTTACCATGTAAAGGGGTTACTAGTATCTTAGGTGCTATAAAACTGAAGTTTGGAAGTTTTGCGGCTTAAGAGTTAAACCCATCTCAAATTTACTATGGTTAAGCCAGGCAAAAAAGAAACCCCGTGAATCAAATTCCTTTATGCATATATGATATATCAATAACCAAAAAGAACCTAGGAAAAGAAGGAGAAGAAGGTATACCAAGCTTGGACTTTGTTCTTGGTGAGCAAACTCGGGTGACCTCTCACGAGTCAACTCAGAGGCGGAAGCCTCTGAACTCGTCCGAGACTCAATTCTCCTGAAACCCTCCATGCAAACCAACAAAACAAAATACGCCCTGAATTTAAAAGATTAGAAGATTATTAAAAAAGAAAAAGAAATTTATGAAGGAACAAGACAGAGAGAGAGAGAGAGAGAGGAGAACGCGAGGCGATGGCCGGTGAGATGTAACGAGGAGGTTGTGCTTGAGGGAGGGACAAAACAACGATACAGTTGTCATCGCTTTTACACGTGTCATGGGACCGTCACATTGCCACGTCACTTCCTTGGGCTAGCGAAAGTGCCAGATATTTGTTGGGGGGTGCTCAAAAATATCTGTTCTCCTCCTTTCTTTTATTATTACTTGACAGATACGTTTATTTTGATTGCCCCTACTTTTTCTTTTCTTCATTCTTTTCTTTCTACTTTATATGCAAATTTCTTTTTTTTTTTGAATTTATTGCAGACAAATTACTAAAAATATATACATAGACTTGTCGCCATATGTAAACTTTAGTACTTTATACCCCAACTTTTTAAGATTATTTTCTTATATTAAACCTCAGTAAATTAATGTTAAGAGATTAGATACTCTCTATTTAATTAATTTAATGATAATATTATTACTGAATAATACTTAAAAACATTACCCGAGGATATTTTTGGGTTTTAAGAATAGGTAAGGATAACGTCAAGGATAAATAAAGCTAGTTGTACAATATTCCAATGCGATATTTGTGTATGAAGACACTTGGAAATTTTAGATTTTTTTGTTTGTTGGAATAGGGAAAATGATTCATTCGGCGGCTTCTTTCCCTTCAGAACGAAGAAGAAAAGAAGTGAACGAATTAAATGTTCTGTACAAGTTGAAAAGGAAGACGGTGGAATTAATAATTGAATTGTAGCAAACTAGAAATGTCGTATTCAGTGGCTACATTTAGTCAGATCATTAGCACCTGACCAGTGAAATTGGCCATTAATTAAGATATATATATATATATATATATTTGCAATTCGTCCAAACAAGATATTTCTTGCCAGGCTCATGGTTTTGCCTTTTTCCCATGATTTGTTGTTAAGGTTGGATTTACATGGAAATGTTTTTGGCAGTTAAAATGGGAATCTTTGGTGACTTGTTTATGTATGAAGGGAAAATTGAATTCCGATAAAAAAAAAAAAATTACAGTCAAAATGAATTGAACATAATTTTCGGCTTTACAGTAGCTCTTATACACAGCAATTTTTGGAGAAAGAAAAGTATTGGTCTAGATTACTTCCAATCTTTTCACTTGACCTTATTCATGTCTCCAAGCAGCTCTTCTTTGACAAATTCAATCTCATATAATATGATCCCCCTTTGGCTTCCCAGAGTGTACCTGAGATGAACTGAAGATCGCCTACTCTCAACCGATGCTGACAGAGGGTGCTCCCATTCAAGTTTCCTGCTTCTGCTCTCCCTCTGGTATTACGGTTTCTTGAAGATCAATCCGACCTGCATCAGTGAAAGGAACTGATGATTAAATAAAGCTTGTGTATTTTTCAATTCTGCAAAATGCACAACTATTATCTTGACATGGACGAGTTTACAGGTATCTTCATTATGCAGATGACTTCCATTAACACCTACTAAAGTCTATGGTGATGATATAAGTCATTTTTGTCCTTCTCAAAGAATATGTTTATGTCAAGAAAAAACAAAATGTTACATAACAGATTCCATTCCAATTCATTCATAACTGAAATTAGGAATGCAAAGAATGTGACAACAAAGAGGAAAGTGGGGGAGGAATCGACCATTTGTCATATATATGCTAATTAACTATTTTAGATATTATTAAAAAACAGTTTTAGGACAAATGAAATTATGATATTTTGCTTCCTTGAGAGATGGGGGAAAGAAAACAAAACAAAATACAGCAACTACCTGGCTCCTAAACTTACCAATTACCAAAAAGGTGTTTTCAATGCTAGATGAGGCATATATACTAATTGCTGTGGTGAAGATATATTACTTTGGATCCATCAGCAATCAACCACACTCAAAAACTATAAACCCACATATACTATTCCTTTATTGAGGAAGACTAGTTGCCATCAGTGTCGCAGTATTCTATGATGACAAACATTAAAGTAGCATAACAAGCTTTCTTCCTCATGAAGCTCAGGATCTTTTAGAAAAGAAAAATATCATACCTAGTAAGGTAATAAGAGATGGAGCTTTTGAAGGTCCATTGGATCTCATGTCAGTACCTGCAATGCGTAATCTAAACTGTGAGTCCAATACCATAATTGTAACATGTGTAGCAATTCATGAAGCTATCATAGAATTCTCTGTATGTACAGTCACCAATTCATAATTGCTGTGTTAGAACCTCACAAGACAGTGCAAGCACAAAGCAAATCCTCAACTAATGTTTAGCAGATCTGTAAAATGAGAATAACAAGCCCAAAACTTGCAATATACAGACGTTTGCTTCTTGATTACAAGGCATTCACATTTACTATGAACTTGTGCATGAAAAAGAAAAAATAATAATAATGGCACCCTCCTCATCATGTAGAAACCATACTGAAGCAGCTTTAGTGAAAATGCAGCATTGGTTAACAGTAAAATCAAAAGTGCATGTCGCTAAAGCATTGATTTACATCAATCTGATGAATTACAAAAAAAATAAAATTGTATATTACTATATGACAATTCCAAATACACTCCCATGTAAGTATGTATAAAGAAATATACCTGAACTTTCAAGCGACTTTACGATGTCTGATTTCTTAAAAGTAAATCCAATGAAATTGGTATCTTTTGATGTCAACATCTGCTCCATCAAATAAACAAAAACATATCCCAAAGTTTTAGCATTAATCTAGTATAATACAGTACCACAAAAGCTTTCTAGAAAGAAAATGAAAATTGGAGCAAACAAGGTCTTTACCTTCCTCCAAGGTCCCACTTGTGGAATTGCGGAGGGAGGGCCATCAATCTACCAAAAAGCAAAGAAAGAGCAAAATTAATTTTACTGAAAAAGCATAAAAGAAGCAAAAACGTTCAAGAAAAAAGACAACAAGAATTCCAAAGTTTCATCCAGAACACTTTAAACCTTCATGCTGTTTAATGTTTCTAAAATATCTAAAAAAGAAAATAAACCAGAGCAACGTGCAAAACTGATTAAACTCGTTATACCAACTCACAACCAAGATACAGTGAGATAGTTATAAATTTTGGAGAAACTCTCAATATCCCATTGGAAAAGAGGCTTTATTAAGTTAAAAGTGCTCCAAAGCAAGAAGGCTAGCATGAGTCTTAGGAGTTGTAAAGACCTTCATACCCCATAAAAGGGTATAAATCTGATGCATTAGCATTCAAACTACTCACTTCAGGAAACTTCTCAAAATTTTGAGTATCCAAGTCTCCAGTCACTGTTGGCTTATATGCAGCTTCAATTTCATATAGTTTTTCCCATTGCACACCTTTGAACCATGGATGTGCCTGAAAAATATTCAAGACTTCAAAACAAAAATAAAATAAAGAGTATCAACAAGCTCAAACTGAGAAAATTAACAAATTGATCCAATACTAAAATATTGCACAAATAGATGATGCAACTAGTTTTTCAATCTAAAAATTTAAGATCTAGAATGCAGTCTTTGGTTAGGAAAATATAAGCTTACTTATTGTGAATGCTTGATGAAAAAGTATCCTGCAACTAAACCATGTTTTAAAACATAAAACACAAATCTCTGAATTTTAATGTAATACTTCTAATAACATGAAACATTTACATTTCATTTAAAGCATTTACCTTCAATTCTTCTACACCTCTGGTGCCCAGGCGGGTTTCAACATCACAGAGCAGGTGACAAATTAAATCCTTAGCCTCATCAGTTATTTTTGGTTCATCAGGGAATTTCAAGCAGGTTCTCCAGTTGATTATCTGTGCAAGAGAAAAAGATTACCATCTAGTGAACAAAGGAGGCTAAAAAAATCCCCAAGAACCAAAAACTAGGAGGCACCTTGCGGCATGTTATCCGAGGATCATCAGAACAAAATGGAGGATAGCCTACGAGCATCTCATACATGATTGCACCTAGGGACCACCAATCACACTCCATCCCATAACCCTTCTTTAGTAGAACTTCAGGAGCCATGTAATCAAGAGTTCCAACAGTTGAATAAGCCTGCACAAGCCAGAAGTTAGCTGACACTGAATGCAAGTAACATGCCTGCTTAAGAAAGTAACAAATGTAATATCTGAAACGTACAAAAGTTGTTCATATGAAAAATTTTATGCAGGTAACTGCAAATAGAATAAAAATAATACCAATGCACGACGATTACGTTTCCATTGTTGTAGTTGTTCTTTTGGCATCATCCAAGGGGGTCTTTCAGAGCTTGACTGGACCTCAGCTTCACTTGTAGATTCCTGGGAAGTTAAATCTTCATCTTCCAACAAAATTGATGAATATTTGTCATCCAGGGGTTTACACAATCCAAAATCTGATAGCTTCAAATGCCCATTCCTATCTAGTATCAGGTTATCTGGTTTAATGTCCCTACAAGCAAAATACCGTCGAAAGTAAATATCCTGCAAAGTGGTATATATTTTAAGTATTTTAAATTATCATATATCACCACAAGTAGTTTCCTCCAGGCCAAGCACAATGTATGACAACCTTGTGGCTAGTCAAAGCTATCATCTCTCATCAATTAAAAGGTACATACATTCAGGAAAATCCAGGCCTGCCACTGGTCCACCCACATTGAGACACTCCATCTAGTAATTTTAGAAACATGTTCATAAAATGCAATACCTATGAATATAGTTGTGTTGATGAATTGAATGAATAGCCAAAATGCTCTCTGCCACATAGAATCGTGCAACATCTTCAGAAAGAATATCTTCTCTCATCAGTAGTGTCATAATGTCACCACCAGGTAAATACTCCATTATAAGGTACAAGAAATCAGAATCTTGAAACGAATAGAACAGCTTTACAATACACCGGCTATCAACCTCGGCAAGCAAGTTTCTCTCGGAACGAACATGTTCAACCTTGAAGATAAAAGTAAAGTGAAAAATAAGGAGAACTGTTTAAACTTGAACTGTGATTTGTGTTATAGACCACCAAGAAAATGCTTGATTTATTTTCATAAAGTGCTTAACCATTCCAAATCGAACGGGATTAAGAATTTTCTAAGCTGAATCGAGAAATTGCCAGCTGGCTATTCGAACAGTAATCAAACAATATAAAAGTACCAAAATAAATGGGGTTTGAAACAAAAGGAGGTAGGTTAATAACCATGCAGATTTTTCTTGCATTAAAAGCATCCCTGAGAAAGCTACTGCATTATTTTCAAGAGTCCTAGCAATCTTCGCAATCACATGATTAAACTAGCTATGAAACTATTAAGTAGTAAAGGAAATACAGAGCCTGTGAGAAATGAACTGATATAATCAATAAGGGCCATACAGTTTTGAAAGTGTATTAGTTTGGTGAATTACCTGTCCACGACTAAGCATCTCTGATTTCTTTAACTTCTTCATGGCAAAAATCTCTCCTGTGGTTTTAGCTTGACATAACCTTACCTGCATTTGTTACATATAACCAGTAATAACTATCAAGCCATCTAAATATATGCATCAGCAATTTCTTTTCCCGCAGAAAAACAAGTTAAAAAAGCCTCAATGAGGTCAAGTCACCGACAATTTTAACCAATGATCACTAGCAAATGTTTGAAATATACCTCGCCAAATGCACCTTTTCCAATTACAGTTAATTGTTCGAAATCATCAATTCCGACTTTACGTCTTTGCAGCCTCATATATTCAGTTTCTCTCCTTTCTAAATTCCTCATCATCTCCTCTTGTTCCTCACTGGAAACCTGAGCTTCCTCTGCTCTCCTTTGCAGTGCTCGCCGTCTTAAAAAGAACAACAGTCAATATCCAATAAAGCTACACTCCAATTCTCGAAAACCGCACAGCAAATTCCATCTACGCTAACCATACCCATTTAATTACATCATAATTTCAATAATTACCAAGAGCAAATAAATTCAACAGCAAAAGAGAAACTTAAAGCAGCACATGGATATTATAAATGCAACAAAAGTACGGACGACCAGAATTTACCTTTCCTTACGCTCTTGCAACCCTTGCAAGTAGTTCTTGTAATGATTCTCAATGAACTGTTTGGCGGCGGCCGCTTTTTGCCTGGTTACTGGAGAAGAAACGGAGACATCTGGATCCAAATCGAAGCCTCGACCCGCTTTCAAGTTCAAAGCTCCTAATCTCACCGTCCCATCTCCACCGTCCATGTTTCCTCACAAAATTACAATCAAATCTTCTCCTCCTTTTTTCTCACCAGACACCAGGTTTCAACTTTCAATCAATAAGATTTAAAGAAATAATAACCATTTCAAATACAAAAAGGCAAAAAAAAAAAGCTGATAAATGAAGATTGTTCGGTGTCACAGTATCGAGGAGAGATCTAGGAGCTCTCACCTGTCAGTTGTTTGTGAGAATGACTCAAAGAAGAGCAAAAAAATTAAAGGACATTAGAATTAAAATTAAAAATGAACTGGCAAATGTTAATGCGTGAGCGTGTGCCTTGGAGCACGCCAGATTATAAATAAATAAATAAATTTATATTTATGTTTTGCATTGCAAGGCTGTCTTTATCTGTTAAAACTGAGATTGTTTGTTGCTGTTTAAGCTTTTCGAAGGTTTAAAAACAATAAAGAATATATTTTTTCATTTTTTCCTTTTTTTTTTTTTTT